TTATTTAAAAAGTGTTGTTAGGGTATTGGAGAAGGCTTTAGAGAAGAACTAAGTCTTGAAATTACTGCTAGTAGTTAGTGTTAAGTTTTCTATTCCTCATTGTATTTTATTTTCTATTTATAAAAAATACTTAAGGAAGCTTTTCTGGTTGGTAGTCTACCATGATAATCAGAAATTTAAGAGAAATTTTTTCTCAGAAGATCATTCAGTTGTATTTCTCAAATGGTGTGAAAGCTACAAGGCAAGTATATTGAGATCAGTAAAATTCCTGTTAGTTTTTTAGATACATAATATTTTTTATGTTATTTAGACTTACAATGATTTTTCATTCACTCAACCTAATTTTTCCACTTTCTATAGGGTTTTTGTACCTTAGAACCGTCTTTCATTTCTGTCTGAAAATTAGCAGTCACATGATACTATACAAATTTTTGGTGCATATATATCAAAACTTAAATTAGTATTTAAGTAAAAAACCTTAGCAGCAATCAGGTACTGCAGTGTTATATTTTTTTGGCCATTTATTACAAGATAGCTGAAACTGTTCAACATGGGAGAGGGTACATTTTAAGGAGAACATACCTTGTCCTTGTACTTTGTTCTGACTTTACCTGCTGTATCTGAATCTTCTTATTTTATGTTATGTTATTTCATTTATTTTTATTTATTGAGTTTTTGAGATGAGTCTCCTTCCATTACACAGGCTGGAGTGCAATGGCGCTGTTATAACTTACTCTAACCTCGAACTCCTGGGCAAGTGATCCTCCTGGTTCATCCTCCCAATAGCTGGGACTACAGGTGTATACCACCATGCCAGGCTAATTTTAAAATTTTTTGGAGAGATGGGTCTTGCTGTGTTGCTCAGGCCAGTCTCAAACTCCTGGCCTCAACAATCCTCTCTGCTTGGCCTTGCTCCTTACCTGGGATTACAGGCATGAGCCACCTCACATGGCCAGATCTATCTTTCAGTAACACATCAAGTGCCACTGGCTTTACAAAGCCTGCACTAATATCACTGGCCATCCTTCATCTTTTCTTCTTCTGTGTCCCATGATTATTTGTACTTACTACTATAACCATCATCTGATTAACTAGAGTTCAAACTCCATGAAGGCAGGATTTGTATTTTATCTTCTTCATTTAATACTTTGGTTAAAATGCATAATTGATGATTTAAATTAAATTTAGAAAACTCAGATTTGATAAAGTATTTTATTATTCTTTAACCCCTCTTAGAATTTGAGCTCTGAAATCAGGATTATTGAACCTCTGGTGTGTTCTTTGCTGCTACCAACATTCAAATATAATTCACATTGAATTAGGTAGATTATAGGTTTAGCTGCTATAACAGAAAGACCCAAAAATACTGTGGCTCAAATAGGATAGAAGATATTTTCTCCTTCATATTAGTCTGGAGATGAAGTTTCTAGTGTGAATAGAATAACTCTGTCATCTTCAACATGAGGTTTTTGTATGTGGATCCAGGGTAGCAGGTTCATCTCCTAGCAAATGGAAAAGGGGAAGAGGCCAGGGGAACACAGGCCTGATTCAGGTAGTGGCAAAACACCTAATTGCTGCACATTTTCCATTGGCCAGAACTTGGTCCTGTGGCCACACTTTGCTACAGGAGAGGTTGAGAAGTGTAGGTTGAGAAGTATAGAAGCATGGGTAGCCATATTTCTAGCTAAAACTCAGAACCTTCATTACTAAAAGGAAGAATGGCTACAGTGATATTAAAGGTAGAAATTTTTGCCATAGTTTTTGGTTTTATTTCTGTTTTTAAAAATCATAGATAGGTTGCTCCAGGAATCAAAGAACTTGAGTATTTGACTAAATCATCAGATCTTACAGATTTTTTATTATATAGCCCGTGTTCCCTTACTATGGGTGATGCAGAAGGCCATATAGAGCCTTCCCAAAGAGAATTTTACCATGTACTCTAAGAGAGAGGACTAACTACAAATTAAAAAACAAACAAACAGGTACCTATTGTGGCATATTGTGTGCAACAAAGTGTCATGAGCTATAGACATTTATAGGAAAGGTGAAACGAGGGATGATGTCATAAAAGAAATGCTTTAAGAAGATAGGCCTTGAGTATGAGTTAGGATTTGTATGGTCACAAGCAGAACATTCTAGGAAAGGAAATGGTGTGCAGGAAAATGCCAACACAGGATAATTGAGTGGTATTCAGGGGAAAGCAATTAGTCTGTTCTTATTGGCTCCTGGAGTATTTAAGATGGAGTTGTGCAAAATAAAGTAAGTTTAAGAAGGATTAAAATCAAGATGCTCAGGAAAGCAATACGGAAGAAAATAGAAAACTGTTTAAGATTTGGAGACTAACATGGTGTAAAAGTTTAATCTGGTAATGGAATTCAGAATGGTGAATTCGCTCCCTCCCTCCCTCTTAACCTACTAATGGAATTCAGAGTGGATGAATTTCCTCCCTTTCACTCTGCCTAATCTCTGTGAAGTTTCCTGTGATATCTCAGTTACCTCAGTTACCACATCCAGATATTCTTTTTTAGACCCATTCCTCTTGATTTCTCATCTGACATTGTTGAACACCTATTCTTTAAAATTTCCTCCTTCTCTGATTTTGTACAGGTTTTCATTTTCTCCCTAAGACTTAGGATTCTGCTTTTCCCCCCTCTTTTTAAAACCATAATCAATGTAAAGAAGGTGATTATATGTATATCTCTAGTTTGAACATTAGTATTGTGCTCTAATTGCCCGCTGGACATTTTCATCTCAGTGTGTGTCACTGTCATTTAATGTATTCAGCAGATCTACAAGGGTTTCTAGCTCTACAAGTACCTTTATGCTTTAAATCCCAGGTGTAGAATTTGTAGAAATTTTGGTCACTACCTCCTCCTTTGTCACTGTATTTTCTATCACTAAGTCTTGTCAGTTCTTCGTGGTGATTCATACATTTTTCATTTCCAATCTTTTTGCCCCCACATTTATTGAACTATTAAAATGGTGGGTATATGAAAACAAATCAGGAAGTATGCTGAACATTTGAGTTGAAGACTTTGCCAAGAACACACTAGAACCCTGCTATTCAAAATGTGGTCTGTGGATGGCAGCATGGGCATTGCTGGGAACTTGCTAGGAACGCAGAATCTGAGGTGCCATTGTGGGGGCAACAGAATTGGAGTGCATTTTCATAATATCCCTAGGTGATGCACATGCACATTAGAGTTTGAGAAGCACTGGTCTAGAACTCACTGTGCATTTCTCTAACTTTTCTTAGTTTGAGATTTAACTGTTAATATAATTAAACCCTCCAGCTATTTATCTGTTTGTAACTCTTTACCTTAGATTTTTGTGTAAGCTTCAAAACCGATTGCTGTGTTATAAATTGTTATAAGTGTTAGAAATGATGAGACTAGGTGGAGAGTTACTGCAGGAGGCAGCTCTATCTGGAGTAGTCATAAATGTCCCAGATGTATGCCTGTCAGTTTATGTCATTCTCAAATTTAAAGGCAGGATATTTTGAGATAAGTTGTATATAAATACTTTACCTTCTGTGTAATTAAGGAATTTGGAGGGGAGCATATGTTTAGTTTTACCATATTTTAACTACTGGCTTTAATGTTGTTTTTTAGCATAACTGTCACCCTTAGATGAAAAGTATGTACATAAAATAGAAGCCTGCATTTTAAAACTTTATTTTCATTGACATATATATTTTTTTCATAATCAAGTAATTTATAGAAGTCTGTTAGGTGTAAGCTTATGAATATTTGACATAATTTCCAAATATTACTTTCATTTTTCCATTTTTAATCATACAAACTATGTGAAAATACTTATAAGAAAATTTAAAATTATCATGAGAGAATACATTCAAAAGCATGGAGAATAGTATAGCTAAGGCTTGTATTTTCATATACATATGTGAGTTTTTCAACAGTGTTTTCCAGAATTTTTTGACCATGACCCAAAGAACTAACATTGTATAGCACATCTCATGCATATTATGTGTTACTAAAACAAACGTTTGTATTCTTACTACCGACTCAGGAAGTTGATTTTAACTAGTGTTCTCTAAGCTACATGTATTTTTCCCTGATCATATCCACTTTCCTCACCATTAGTTGCCTGTCTCAGTTTCATAACATGTGTGGATACTTTTAATTAATATGCAGTATGCTATTATTTAATATATTTTTCAACTTCAGTAAGTGGTTTCATACTATATGTATTCATCTGTAACCTTTCTTAATCTCAGTGTTATATCTGAAATTTAGCCATGTTGACACAAGGCTTTTTGAAGCAGACCATGTTATTTCTCATCCTTGCCAATACTTAGTACTAATGGACTTAAAATTTTTCCCCCCAATATGTTGAGTGCAAAATGGCAGTTACTGTAGTTTTAAAGGGCATTTCCATAATTACCAGTGAGATTGTGTATGTTTTCGTGTTTATTGGTCATATATTTCTTATGTAAATTACCTGTTTATATATCTTTTGCCCTTTTTTCTTTTGGGTTGCTTGTCTCTTATTTCCACATTTTTTTTTAAATGCCTTTGATTTTTATTGTTAATTTTTAAAGCAATATCTCATATAATATATTTAATAAAGTAATTACTTTTTATTATGGGATATTACTACTCCTGGTTCAAATATGCTGAGTAAATGGTTCACATAAATTAGTTTTAACCCTTTGCACTTGGATGTCGAGTGTGGATAATGTTGAGTGGATGATGAGAAAAAAGCAAGCGAGTGCAAAGGGTTAAAAATCTTAGGCAGATTTGGGGGAAAGTTTCTAGGAAAGCAAAAGAAGTAAAATCATTAAGGTTCTTGAGGGTTGCCAAGACATGTCTTTTTAGCAAGCTGCTGCCAATACCATTTGAAAATTTGTATGTGTGATTTTTATATTCTTCCATTATAATTGTATAAGAACCAAAATATTTCTAATATGTTGTCTTGGTGCTTATTTTAGTTTTTAATACTTGCTTTTTTGTGTTTGTTTGTTTCTTCTTCTTAATTAGGTCCCCGATGGGCTTCCTGGAATATTGGTGTGTTTATTTGCATCAGATGTGCTGGAATTCATAGAAATCTTGGGGTTCATATATCCAGGGTAAAATCAGTCAACCTAGATCAATGGACACCAGAACAGATACAGGTAAACATTACCTTACCAAGATATTATTAACATATTTAAAATTATTTAAAAATATGTAACCCTTCTTGCATCTAAGGACTAACAATGAATAATAGTACTGTATATTGAAATGGCATATGCCACATATAAAATTTGAATGTTATTTGAATTGTCAATTTACAGATGTTTGTTTCTTTTTGGGTCTACAATAAAGTAAGTTTTTATCTGTTTTATGTGAAATGTTGCTTTTGAATTATTTAAAAAATACCCTTTCTTTTGCTAATACAAATTGCCAGTATAATTCCATAGTTTGTTTAATTTTCTTGTCAGTAGAGGGAGCCTGAGTAAAGATAAAGAAAAAAAAACCCACCTCAGCCTAAAAACTGACTTGAAGGATTTCTGTTCTGTACAGAGGTGTTCTTGGTTTTCAGACAGGGGCTAGTAGCTGGAAGACAAGCCCAATGAGCAAATATTCTTATGACTGATCTAGACTTGTTTATATTTGTAGTTTTAAGGGTTTGCCATTTTTTTCTGGTATGACATTCCTAAATTTTCAAAATCTTACTTTCTAATCCTTCAGGCTGGCTGCTAATGTAAAAATGATTTACTTCTACTGGTTTTATTTTATAATTCACAGTGAAATTCTACTTTTTCTTATGCCCTTTTGAAATTACTTTTAATCAGTGTGAAGTGCTGAATACATAAACATATGTGGTTGAAACTCAGTGATATGCATACATACCTCAGAATCAGAAAAAAACAACCCCCAAATTTGCATGGTTTGGTGAGGTAAGGGTAGAAAGAATAGAATCGAGATCTTCAGGCTATAAAGTCAAGCATAATTTATTTAGTTCCATCTTAAATTAGTTTTTGAGCTTTTTGCTGGCTAGGGCATAAAAGGAAATATCCTTTCTGTATTTTCAGGATCCTTGAAGAGAAAACATACTAGTTACATCAAAGAAGCAGAGCTTTTCCAACACTTCATATGAGGCAGTGTTCTTAATATCTCTGTAGCAAATGTGGTAACAGATGTCTTGATGTTGCACGTTTTTCTCAAAAAAGAATGAGGTGTAGCTTGACAATATAATTTGGTATTTATAATGAGTTTGGAGATACAAAACACTCAAGACTAAAGTGTCTTACCTTTTATATCATTCATTTCAAGCTAAGGATAAAACATGGAATCCCTTAACAATTCAGTTGTTCAGAAATACTATTTTTCTCAACTTAGTTGTTAAAAGGAGTTGAATAGCAGGTTATTTGAGATGGATAACTGTATAGCTTAGAGCAGAACTTTCCAGTCAGAGAGCTGTAGTTCACTGGTTTTCTTTGGAATAGGTTATAGGTAAATGGAAAGATATTGGATTATTAAAAATATAAGAATTTTAAAAGTAATTATTAAATATTTAAAATTGTATTTGAATATTGTTTGGTTCACCTGTCAGCTTCTTAGATAAGAATTATTATTTTACTGTGCAAAACTTTATGATTAGTACTTGTCACCAGAGAATGCTCTTTCTGGCTCTCCCACATTCCACAGACCTCCTCTTCCAGGTGTGCCATGGTGAGAAATAAGGTTAGGATGTACCCAGAAATCAAATGAGTAGACAAAGTTTCACATTAAAAAAAAATAGGGAGGCCTAATCACATAGATGGGCCATCCAGTATTTTTGTGATAGGCCCTCTGAGTTCTTGCAAACAAAGCCAGAGTTGTTTACAAATTGTCCTGCAACATAAACGTGTAATTGGTGAAACCCTCAAATTCCAAACTGTAGAGCATAATCTTTATTTAAGCCTAGAAAAATTCAAGGCAACTGATTCTAGAGAGGAAGTAGAACAAAGTGATTAAGAAGTTTATCTCTAGAGGTAGACTGCAAATAGACCTGTGTGATACTTAACCTCGGGGTGCCTCAGTTTCTCTGTTTGTGAAATGAGAAATAGTAATATTGCCTCCTTTTATAGGTTGCTGGAAGGATCAAATAAATTGAGTTAATTTAAGATAGTACCTGGCACATTTTAAACACTCAGTAAATGCTAGCTTGTTAGTGGTAGTATTAGTTTATTTATTCATTATGTAAAACCCTCAGTATAGCAATAGCCTCCTAGTTAGTATTAATATATTGTGATGAATTGGTTGCTAAATGTACTACTCAGTAAAGAAACAAATTGATCCATTGTATGGTATTATTAAGTATAAGTGAATTTCTTTTTGAGAATATTTACCAAAAATAATTATTTCATTTTTAGTAGTATTGGATGTTAAGGCATTTGGAGATGAATAATTAGTTAATTACAGAAGTTTTCTATTGAAGTTGCTCCTCATTCAGATTTGAGCATATCCTATTTCCTTTTGTTGTAGGTATGTTTCATATAATCTAACTTTATACCATGGCTATCTGGCTGGCTGTCTGGCTCCTCCTCTTCCTCCCCCCTCCCTCCTCCCTCCCTCCCTTCCTCCCTTGCTTTCTTCTGTTCTCTCCCTGCCTTCCATCCTAATTGAGGCATAATTACAAAAAGAACAATTCACAGATCTCAGTGCGTTTTATGAGTCTTGGCAAATGTCTATACAGTGTTACCAACACCCCACTGAAGATAGAGTATTTCTATCACCCTAGAAAGTTCCTTTATGCCAGTTTCCAGTCAAGTCCTGCAGAGGCAAATATTACATTGATTTCTAGCACTTTGGGTTAGTTTTATTATACATACATTGAAATGTCTATCTTTTAGAAGCCATTCCTGTTCACTTGGACCCTTAATTCAAATAGGAAAAGTGATGATCATAATGTGTTGTAATATTCCATGTTTACATATTTTATAAATAATTTGATATAAAAATGCTTTGGAGGTATTTATTTATAGAAGTAAAGGAAATGCTTTTTTACTGCACACAGTTCTACCCTATGTCTTCCCCTACCATCATCCCCAGCATTTCATGATAATCATGTTTCTAATTTTTAAAGATGATAACTTAGTTTTGGTTAGTTATATTTTTTAAAAAAAATTTTATTAGTAAATGTGGAAATGATTTCATCTCCGAGCACAGTCAAACTATTAAGTAAAAATGTTCTTTTTTGTGTATGTATGATACACAAAAAAGTTCTGTAAAATGTAACTACTAAGTTTTCTTTCAAGGTTACTTGTAAACTGATATTATATGTGCCATATTTTTGTCAGGTACGTGTATGTTGTGTGTGTTCGTCAATTTTTAGGGGACCTACCATATGTATAACTATGTTAGAATTGCTGGATGCTTATGTATAAAAGAAAATGACTTATCAACTAAAACTTACTTTGATTTTTGTTAACATAGAAACAAAGTTATTCACCTTAAAAATGTTAAAATTTTTTGTTTTAACGCAGTTCATGGACGATTAAATGTCTTTGATCTTGGGTTTATTGTCTCAAATTTTTGGAAAGGAACAATTTTTTTATACTTTTATAAGTACTATAGTTTTTATCTTTTATTTGTGCTGGCTCATTAATGCTAGGTCTTGATTACTATTTTCTTCATTTTTCTCTCATTTAAGAATTCTTAATTATTCATTTTAATATATTCATTTATTTTTATTTTAATAGATTTAGAGGAGTACATTTTAGCTTTTTAAATGTCTGTAGTGAAGTTTTTCTATAAAAATTAATGTCTTATTTTTATTGTAGAGGAACATTACTTCCAAATTTTTTAGCTCACTTGAAATTTGTGCTATTGAATAAAACATCTTAATGAGATATTGACCATAATGGAAAATACATTCCATATATTTTATATTTATCTTGAAAACTTTTGACTACTTTTAATACTTTATGTATCTATAAATCTTCTAGTAACTTTCCCATATAGACTTCTTATTTAATGTTTTTTGCTAGTGTCATTTATTGATGTGGTCCTTAGTATTTTCTTAGAAACATTAAGCCTACTCAATTAAAATTTATTCATTTATTAAATATATTTTGGGGAACTTTAAATTTGAAATTGTCCATTCTCTCTGACTTATCCTTAGTGAACTTGCCTTCAACATTATAGATATTTAACTCCCTCTTCTGTATCTTTACCATTTTTACTTTAGCTGTAACTCCATTTTGGCTAGAAGGAAAGCATCTTTAAACCCACCTCTTTTCACAACCTGGTTATCATTGCAGCAAGAGATTATTCCCTTATTCTCTTCCTCTCTCTTATTTTTTGTTTATTCAACCTCTGAATATTTCTACTTTGACTAACAGCTTCTTATTCTCTTGATTTAGAGGCAAGAATGGAGGAAGTTAGTGGTTACTAGTTTCTTTGCCTGTATTTTCATTCCCAGGCTTCCTTCCTATTTTTCCACCTAATTTTAAAAAATTATATGCACTTCAAGGCATTTTGAAACTTTCTTCCTCCTTGAAATGTGTTTCCTCATTCCTTCTTTCAGAAAAAAGTCTCCCTCATATCTTTCTTTCTCTCAATATACACCTCTTGACTTGACTATTCATTTGTTTCCTTGTTAAGTCAATAAACATGTATTAAGTATTCATAATGTGCCAGCCACTGTCTTTCTAGTGACTACCTCTTATTTCTAATACTTGAATTTCTTGAGGAAGGTCTTTCCCTGCTGTTTCATTTCTTTACCTTATTTTTGCCTCTGCTAACTCATTTCTAGTCCTACCATTCCCCCTACTGGCCAAATCCAACTCTCCATCCTTCTCTTCCTTGATTTTTCTGCTTAACCACTGCCTTCTTGAAAGCTTTTTTTTTTTGTTGTTGTTGTTCTTTGTAAAAGAACAAAATTACTCCCCCATATCTTTTATTTTATTTTGTTTATTTAGTTTGTATATTTTTTATTTCTTCTTCTGCTTTTCCCTTTTACTTGGAGATTTTCTACAGTTTTGTTTTTAGCGTTTTTGTTCTTTTTGCCTTTCCCTATAGAAAAACTCATTTACTCTCATGGATTGAGCTGTAATTTTTCTGTGCAGATGGTTCTTTTCTGCCAGTAGTGACTCCCAGTAGGACAATGAATTATCCTTTTTTCAGATTGCTTATTAGAGTCCTTTGGTATTCATAGATTTGTCATGCTTAAGAAATCTTGAGTATCATTGGCATGAAATGATTGGTAATTCTCTCTAGTATGCATTTTAATTGTATGTTCTGTGAAGCTAGAGTTAGCTAGTTAGGTTGATTTCATGGCAGTAGAGTCTCAACGTGGTCTTACATTTTCTACTCATTTTTGGATATTCTGTAACTCTTATGAAGTAGTTAAAAATCTTATTGCTTTATGAAAAATACCTTGCAAAGAAAGCTTGCTGTTAATGATAGAATGTTAAGAGAATGACAGAAGTTAAGAGAAAGCAATAGCTATGACCAAGGATGGATTTTGTTCCAGATAATATTATGCATTTGGATAGAATAAAAAGTTGAGTATCAGAATTAGCTATTGCTCTATTTGGCAGTATTAACCAATCCCTCCTCCTCCATATATTCCACATGGAAATAGGAAACAAGAGTATATGAAATTGTTACACTGTTTAACTGTGGGAAGTTTGGACTATAGTTATAGTTATTAATGCATAGCATTAAATGTTGAGATTGGTAGATGTCTTTATTTTAGTTGCAACTTGACAAATCTAAAATTAAAATGAGCTAGTTGTCTAGATTCCATTTCCTTAGCAAATGTCATTGTTCAGTTAATCTTTAAAATGTCTTGTATTCTGTGGTTCTTACTCCTTTCTCTCTTAGGCCTCTGTCTTCTATCGGTTCTTAATTCTCTTGTTGTTTCTGCTGCTTTCCATTCTCATTTCTCCTACCATGTCCAAGGCTTAAATTTTTGCCCTTTCTTAGACAAAAGTTTTTCTTATGGAAGCCAAAATCATGAGTTTTCACCAGTTATCATCAGTAAACTTTGCTTTATTCCGAGGCTTCAACTTGAATTCTTAATCAGGCCAAATACAGAGTGAATAGGCAAAGTAGTATTGATAGATACCTTAAATACTTCACTAACTTAAAAAAGCAACTAAAATTACAGATACTTCTTATGTTAGTGGTTATGTGCTCATGTTCAAGGGTAAAATTGAGATGTAAATGATTATAAGAGGAAAGGGATAAAAGTAGTTAAATACATTAATGAAATTTTCTGTTCTTTGACTCTCTGACAGTATATTTCAGGTACAGTTAAAATTATATTATTTAAAAGCATATTAATTTTTCAAATAAAACGACTTTCAGTTGATTGAACATTTCTGTGTGATATCTCTGCCATCTTTAAAAAATAAAAACCTAGAAATAGAACCTAGAATATTGATAGGCAGTTGGAATTTAATTTTACATAAGTCATGTGGGTTTGTGTTATTTGGAGCAAGGTCAAAGAATTTATTACTTTGATCCTTTCTGGGTTTTGTCTTAGCTGTTGGTAATTAGTAATAGATAATCAATTTGTTACCAAAAAAAATATTATGACATTAATTTTTAAGTCTCTAGATGGTGAGATAAGTTTATTATGCTTTCCACGTGTGAGTTCTGCAGAAGAAAAAGATCTATTAAATAAAATATATTATTAAAATTAATTTCACCCCTGTTTAATTTCTTTTTAATTAGGCTTGTAGAAAATTTAAAATAATATAACTGGCTCAATTATCTTTTTGTTGCACAGCAGTGGTATAGATGTATCATAGTTTTTATGTATTTGCCAGTAGCCGCTGCAGATCTCTTTTGCTTAATATTTGCATGATGTACCTTCTTCCATTCTTTTATGTTTAAGCTACCTATATCTTTAAACATAAAGTGAGTTTCTTTTATACAAGAAATTCCTACATGTGGTATACTCCTTCAACATGTAGTTTCACATTTTTTAAGTGAAGTTTTTTGAATTACGGTTTTTAATATTCTGTTTCATTATTTTTGTTTACTTCTTCAGTGACTCCTCTTACCTGTCACGTTGTCTTTGACCCTTTCCATTATTTTTCCTATTAAAATTTTTTTTCCTCTTTGGGCTCTCCATTTTTCTTAGGTCATTATTTGTTATGTTTATTTTTTATCATATTTAATTTTGAAGTAATTTTACATCACATATATCTTTTAGTTTGTTCTGAATTAGTAGGTTATAGTTTTCATCTGTTTTATGCACTTATTTTTTCTATTGTGGTTTCATTGTAGAGATGTTATTCTGCTTATTCTTTTTTTATCTTACAACTTTTTATAAGATTTGACCTTGATTCTTTGTGTTGATCATTTTTGTGTAAAATTAGTTTTCTTTTACTTTTAGGAGGAAGCGACATTTAAGATAGCTTTTCTAACTTTAATTGTTTTCATATAGTGTTAAAAAAACAAAGCCACTTGTTTTTTGAGACTTTTTGCTCTGTTTCCTTCTCCCATTTTTACCTGCCCTGCTGAATTTTGACAGCTCCTGGGAGTTTTTTTTTTTCTCCTCAGTTTGGGGCCCTGTCCTGGGAGGAATACTTGGTCATCAGATATGAAAGTTCACAGAGGCTAGAATGTTCTCCCACATTCTGAACTTAACATGGACTCTTTGCATTTATTTGCTTTTGGACTGGTTAAAAATCCTTTTCAACTTCATGTACCTTTCTCAGATTGGTTCACTGTGATTTCCAGTTTGTATGTCTCTTTGACTATTTTGATGTTTTGTTCTCAGAATTGTAAGAACCTCCATTAGTTGAAGGCATCAGGCAGGTTGTTAGTGGTTATTAGTGTTGATGGTTGTTAGTGATTTGTCCCTACCTGATACCATTTTGGGGTTTGTGGAGATAGTCTGTTTTTCTAGTTTTGTTGTAAATATTGCCTAAGTTTTTAGTTTTTGTATCAAGCTGTTCTCTATTTTTTCTGAGTAGATTCTGGGAATTTTAAAAGCTGTCTCTTCTCTTACTGAATTCCCATGATAAGCAGTATTTAATAAAATAAAATTCCAGTTTAAAAGAGTTTATTTGGAGAACTCCGTGATTTAACCACATTGACCTGCATGTGTTAGAACATTGTTTAGTCTCTTAAAGTTTTGACCCTTAGATAAATTTTCATTAGTGCCTTATAGAACCAGGCACATAGTAAACTTTTGGTACACAATTCTTGGTACACATTCATTCAAGAAAATCCCAGATGAACTTTTTTCTTGTTTTGTGGTGGTAGGGTTGCTCATTATAATTCAATCAAGCTGACAGAATTTCTCAAATCATGGCCTAAGGTACATACTTAACTTTGTAAATTGATTGAAATTCAATTTATGATGAATCCTTGCTAGGATCATTAAATATGTCTTCAAAAAGGAGCAGAGTATAGGAGCAGCCGACAGCATTGGGTTTATGTATTAATATTATCTGCATGTTAAGAGTGATATAAAGAAAGAAATGTGTTACTGTCTATAACAGAATTTAATCTGTGAAGTTAAGAAATTTGCACTTTTATGAAATCTATTTGGGGAAAAATCACATAAAATTTGAATTGGAATATGCAAGGTTGTGCCCTATATTTTCTTCTTCCCCTTTATTTGCTAATTTTTAAGTTAAACTTTAAAGTCAGTAATAGTTTTTTTTAAAAGTACATATTTTAGAATTCTCCATTACTAGTGATTGGCTAGTTCTTGTGTCAACGTAGTGAACAGAAATTGTAAGATATTACTTAGTGGAAGTCTTTCATTAATTTATTCTGTGCTTCCTAATCTAGGTAGAACTGAGAGAGTATAACTAAAGAATTAATAGGCTATTTGAAGATAAGGGCTTACATCCCCATATAGATTACAATATTTTGTAGGAAATTGTTAGGGTGTGTTGAATGAATACATATATGAATGGATCATGTAGAAATATTATTAATTTCATTTCACATAGCATTTTAGAGGTATAGTCATGTTCTTCCCTGCTTTGGGTAAATATAATAACGATAGAGGATAAGAAGTTTAGTTAAAGTACTGGCAGGGACTATAGAACTGAATTATGGTTCTGGCTCTGTTAACTGAATGATAGGTAATCTTCAAAGTAAGTCAAAAAGTAGCTTTCTTTTAAGATTACAATATCTAGTCATATGGTAAGCTTTAACATTTTAAAAATGTCTCATCACTATTTTTATAGTAACCTTTATTTGTTTATGAATTACTAAAAGCACACTACAGTGTGCAGAGGGCCTTCCAGGCAGAAAGATGGAGAAAGCATGTTGTGTTTGAGAAGGTAAAGTAGTGTTCTGTGACCAGACTGCTAGGTGCAGTTATATGTGTCATAGAAGGTGAAGGTGAAAGTTATAGCCAGGGACTAGTTTGGTGATGATCCTATAAGTGATAGAAGGTGGGGACAGGGAGAGAGTCAGGAGCTCTTAAAATGTAATAAGTTGAAAAGTATTAATAACATCTCACATTCCCTTTAAGAAGATAAATCTGGTAGGCTAGGTAATAAGTCGCTAGATCTTGGACTAAGGTAGTGGCAGTGGAGTTGATAAACAGGGGAAGCCTGCAAGGAATATTCAAGAATTAGAATCACTAAGACTTGGCAGGAGAGAGAAGAGTCCAGGATGACTCTTGAGTTGGGGTTTAAGCACCTAGTTTGGAAGTCATGGTTCATTCCTAGACTTCAAATGGTATGAATTTTATAGTAAGCAGAGATAACAAAGGAGTGTAATGTGAAATTTTCCCAACTTTGTCCTATCAGTGTTTAATTTCATTCTTTTTAAAAAATGCATTCAGCTGAATTTGTAGCAATTAGCAAATATAACAGATCAATCAAGATCTAAGACTGTATAGAAATTGTGAAAGGTATGAAAAATGCTACCTCTAATTCCACATCATCATTAAAAAATTGAAGTTGTGTGGTTTATTCTTAAAAACAATAATTAAAACAGAAAACAGAGAACAGCTTCCCCTAGGAAACAATTTTATGAAACTGAAGGAATGGACTCTGTATTAAATATTTCCAAAGAGTTCCTGAGACCAAAAATGGTGGCCCTTCTTTTCCAGCAGCTGGAATCCAAAAGATCTTGAAACCAGTCCTGAAAGGCTTGCTCCTATGCAAGAAATCCTGGTGGCTTTTGAGAGGAAGATAGAGAACTATTCTGGAAAATTTCAAGTGGTAGTAGAGGTGAGTCACTGACATGAAGAATTTATCCAGGGACTACAAATACTCATTTCTCTTTTTAAATAGGAGACTTTTTCAGCTGAAAATAACTTTTTCAGTTGAAAATCTTAGTCTTCATGTTTTAAGAGTTTAATGAATAGTAAATAGTAGAGCAATTAACCCCCTACCCTCCACCTAAATACATTAAAATTTTAAGAAGCTTTCAGTCTTCCACAACAATAGTGTTTCTATGAGAAGATGGTGATACTGGAAAAAGACATGGTAAATAATTGCCGTATTTATGCTTTGAATGTATTTTGACTGTAAGATCTGCTTGAATGAGTTTTTTTTAAATGTATACATTTGATTTGATTCATAACCTTTTTGATTCATCAGAAGACTTTTTTCTCCTTAGTAGAAGAAAGTCCCATTGCTCTGATTCAGATACTACTTGGATACCCTACCTAAGATCTTTGTAGATAGTATTTTATTTTGAAACAAAGCAGGATTAATATAGCCCCTCTCTAATCATTTTATTCAGTTTTTGGTAATAGAAAATATATGGACATGGTACAAACCTCAAAGGGTACAAAAATGTAAACTGAATACTCTCTCTCCCACTTCTGTCCCTCAGTCATCTAGTTCCCCTCCATATAAGCAACCATGTTTATCAGTTTCGTGTATATTCTTCCTAAACTTATTTTTATTGTTAATGTTTTTTTAAGATAAGGTCTTTTTCTGTTGCCTAGAATTGAGTGTAGTGGCGCGATCATAGCTCACTGCAACCTCCAACTCCTGGGCTCAAGCAGTCCTCCTAGTTCAGCCTCACAAGTAACTAGGACTACAGGTGTTGCCACCATGCCTAGCTAATTTTTTTGTTTTCTGTAGAGACAGGGTGCTACTATGTTGTCCAGGCTAGTCTTGAACTCCTAGACTGAAGCAATTCTCCCGCCTCAGCCTCCTAAATTGCTGGGATTACAGGCATGACCACTACACCCAGTCTCTTCCTGAAATATTTTATGTACATATACACAAACATGTAAGTGGTGTACATTTTTTTATTCTTACATAAAATCTTTTGACTTGGAGGTAAGGTTCTTCTTTTCCTCAGAAAATTGTGTAGAAGAGTTTTATATAGTTTTACCTTTCTTCCCACATGTTTAGCATAAACATGTGGCATCCTTCTATTTAACATAAACATGTAGCATCCTAATCTTAAACACATCAGTGTTTAAGATTTGATTGATTATTGTAACATCTTGCAGTTTTGCCATTGGGAATTTAGAAGACCTAATTGCAACCTGATCATTTGCAATATCTGCTATTCTGTTATCTTTTCCACTTACCTCATTTTTAAAAATAACCAGTACACTCTAAAGGGCAAGTCAGTATACATCTACAAATTTGTGAAGACTATGCAGATAGCTTCACATTAGTGACATTAATAACTTCACATCAATAACACATTAGTATATTAGTATAAATTTTAGTTTTACTATTAATGGCTGTCAACCAGGTACTTCTTAGCATTTGAGGGACAAAGTACAGGAAACATTGCAGGGACAGATAGGAGGAAGGTACTGAGAAAGAGGGGAGATGCACAAAGAAGGGAGGTCCACGCAGCCATGTTTATTAGACATAGCTCCTGAGCCTGGAATAGACTATATTTGGCTTTAGTTGCTGGGACAAATGTACCCTGAAGTAGTTTTATCACGTAAGAGAACTCTTTCTTTTTGGAAGATTAAAACAGAAAAAATTGGACAAGTCTTATTCTTAGGGGAATGAATTAGTAACTTGGAATTTCAGATGGCCTGCCATTTATTTTGCCTTTTATTGTGTTTAATTATTGTTTCCTGATAATGACAGTGGCTCAAACTTGGGCACATTTTGTTTCTATCTGTTCCTGTTATCTTTTATCTTTACACATTTATTTCAAGGCTCTGTTTTCAGTAAAAGCAATCCTCCTACCTTGGCCCTGACTTTTTTTTTTTTTTAACCTTAATTTTGAGATGAAGCCTAGTTTATTAAGTAAATAAATGTTACTTAAAATATTTTCAAAGTAAATTTAATAGAAACTTTGATTTAAGTAATTAAGAGTCTTTCTCTTCCCTTTTTCATAAAGTGTGTGAGAGAAAGAAAAAAAATATTGATAGGGAATGACATGACTTTTGTAAAGCTGAAGAATTTTCAGAATTACTAATATTTTCGAATTTTTAATAGCTTATTTTCTACCCTTCCAAGTATCTCTCTTATTGGAGAAATGAAAGTAGGTTTGGAAAATAAAGTGTTTCAGAATGATGCTAAGTAGTAAGATAATACTTAGGGTCTGGCTTGATTCACAGGAACTAGATGGTAGAAATTCACATAGCTAGTTCATTACTCATAACTTACATCTCCTATTGGTTACAAATAATTAAAAATGTAAAAGCTTCCCTTTTCTTTTGAATGAAGTATATATGATTTATCATCCAATTTTTTTTTTTTTTAACCAGTCTGCTTGACCTAGCTCTGGAAAACTGCATCTTTAATTGCCAAAAGAAGCAACTAAAATTCTCCTTTCTGTCAGTGCATTTGCTAAATAAGTTTGGATGAGATAGCCTAAAAGAAAAGGAATAATGTTTTAATAACAGCAGTGATGTTTTAATAATGGAGGCAACACTTCTGTCTTGTGGTGAAATTTCCAAGATACTTACTTTGACTAGCTGCTGCATGGTGGTAAGGATTGGGAGTGAAGGAACTGGATCCTGGTCTCAACCCTGTCACTGATTCATTTTATTACCCAGCAGAATAATCGTATAACCTCTTTGTGCCTCAATTCCTTATCTGTAAAATGAAAACTGAGCCTCCAAAGTAAAGAGCCTGGGGTTTGTAAGCCCTGCAGGACATGGTCCCAGTTCCGCTGGATGGAGCTTAGGATATTTAAACCACTGATGGCTAATGTTCTATCAGGAGTTGAATCATGTAGACTGATAATTTTAGGGCTGTCACTTAGCATCTTGCAGGTTCAGTTTTCTTTCCTGTCAAATTAGGGTAATAATATCTTAGGGTAATCTATCTTAGAGTTGTTTTGAAATTAAAAATTTTAAATACATATATGTTAATAAAGTGTTGAAGCTAATGCTTGTCACTATAGCTGTTTTGCTATTTTCATTATTTTTTTCTGCCAGTTACTGGGCAGAGTTTGCTCTTCAGGGCCAGTAGAATACATTTTCATGAGTGTTCTGTAGGATCCTTACCTATAATGTCTAGAAACCTTGAGGTCAACTAGTTTGTACAGTATTCCTTATCACCTTCCCAAAATGCCAGTTCCATTGTTTTTTTACCTCATTCTGTCTTCTACAAATTACTTAACCTTTCCTCTCCACTGATCCTTCCACTACTGACTTCCTTCCCACCCAGATTCTCGATTTTACTTTTTAGAAACTTAAAAACTAAGCTTATGAATTTCTTTTCTTTTCTTTTCTTTTTTTTTTTGAGACAGTCTCACTCTGTTGCCCGGGCTCGAGAGCTGTGGCATCAGCTTAGCTCACAGCAACCTCGAACTCCTGGGCTCAAGCGATCCTTCTGCCTCAGCCACCCGAGTAGCTGGGCCTACAGGCATGTGCCACCATGCCTGGATTATATATATATATATATATATAGTTGTCCAGCTAATTTCTTTCTATTTTTTTAGTAGAGACGGGGTCTCTCTTTTACTCAAACTGGTCTCAAACTCCTGAGCTCAAACGATCGTCCCGCCTCGGCCTTCCAGAGTGCTAGGATTACAGGGGTGAGCCTCCAGGCCCAGAACCAATATCTTCTTTATCCTCACAAAATGATCTCTCTACATCTGTGTTGTTATTGAATCCTTGTTTTCCCCAATCCCAACTAAAAAACACACACATCCACCTGCACCCAGTCACTTTTTGGCAGTGGTCTCCTGTAGAAATGGCTCATTATTTCACCTCACTTCTCCCTTTCAGATTTGTATGCTACTATCTAATTGTTATGGATAACATCACTAGAACATTGTTTAATAATCTGGTATGATGTAAATGTATTTCTTATTCATAATTACTTTTTATTTTGCCAAAATAAAATATTAATGACCTTCATTAAATAAATGTGTACAATCATATTAATTGTTTGTAAGATATTGCTGACTGTAAGAAGCACATCCATTTTATGGATTAATAAAAATGATCAGTTATTAGATACCATCAATTGTAAGATGCATTCCTATTTCTAAGGTTGTTAACATACAAAAAAATGTAAATGAGGATTGATGAGATGTGGTCTGTATAATAGATACTGTTTTTAGTCTTATTAGCTTTTAAAAATTTCCATGTACTCTTGCTTGCTTGATAGAAACTTTTCAAATTTTCTTACTTTTGCAGTTTCAGTGAACTGTATCTACTTTGTGCTTCATTACAGATATTGTGCAAACTAAGAGGCATTTTTTTCTTGGTCTAGTTCTTTCCAAATGTTTAATGTCTTTATGATTACATAACTTGATCATCTCTGCTTCCAAATTCCCATCATGGCACAAAGATGCAGCATCATTTGGGTGCTTGAGATGGAAAACATTTTTTTGGTTTTCAGGAAGGGTGAGCTTACTGAAAGTTTCTCAGTTATTCTGTCCACACATAGAATTACAGATTTAGCTCTGCTTATACTAACTTCATGCTAGTATCTACTGTGACATAATAGAGCCCTCTGACCTCATACTGTTAGTTCACCTTTTACAATTTTTTTTCATCTTAACATAGTTTTGAAGCTCAAGTTTATTTTGCCTTAGTTTCTGTTTCATCTCTAGAGCTAAATGACAAAAGCCCTTAATTCTTTTTTTTTATTATCTCTTTTACTTCCCACTCACCCTGTTACTTCACTTCCTCATTATCTCTAGAGGAATGACTTAGAAATCTGATTTACTCTGCAAGAATACGTACATTGAGGTGGGGTGGAATAGATACCCAGAAGTGAGCATATATTGGAATTTCGTACACCTTAAAACTCTCAGTTGGGAGAAGTCACTATATTTTTTGTTTGAAGGAAGATGGTTCTGTATACATTTGAAGGCTACAACTGAAGGTAGATCATATGTTAAACCTGGGTTATCTTCTCATGAGTGTAGGAGTATGTGTCTGGGAAATCAGGAAAAAAAAGAAATTATAAAAACTGATCTCTTAATATTTTATGAAACTCGAGCTCTATGTCAGTGATGTAATATATATTATAATGATTTGTTTGTATATCTTACATTTAATTCTCATGTAATAATAGAATATCAAGGAAGTACTGTTTGGCTAATCATTAGTCATAGATGATACTGAAACTTAATGAAACTGGTTGAAATGATTATCAAATTATTTTATGCCTACAGAGCAGTAGTTCTTACCTCTGGTGTTCATAGATTTAGGGAGGAGATTCTATGAACTTCTGAACTTGTATAAAATTTGACTGTTAGAGTTTTTTTTTTTTTTTTTTTGGTAGGGTTTTGTTAGGGAAGCCCCCTCAAAGGGGTTAGTAACCCCAAAGAAATCAATCCACTTCTATAGAGTTTGAGGTCAGCACTATTTCTCTTTTATCTGGTCTCCATTGTGATCTTGATTGTAAATCATGAGAATCCCAGGGTAGTTGGGGGATATTTCAAGGAAAATTTGATCTTGAGTTGTTATTACTGGAAATGTCAGCATTGTCAAGTGGTATATTTATAAAAATAATAATACTGCTCACAAATTACTAGGGAATTTACTTTTAGGAGGTAGTGAGCATAAAGGTGGTATTGTTGTCATAGAAAAAGGCAATTAGAGAACTATAGATCTATGTATATTGAACATTGTAAAGGATTAAAAATAGGCTTCTGTTTTGAACTTGAATAATCTCATGTTGTGATTTAAATTACTTTTCTAAAGAGAAGAATATATATTGGAAATAATAAATGTTATTCAGTATTTGTATATATGTGTGTATGTATATGTATAGGAATTACTTTTACATGTTCATGTGAGTAATAAAAATACTTGAACTTTTTTTATTATAGTGCATGCAAGATATGGGAAATACTAAAGCAAGACTACTCTATGAAGCCAATCTTCCAGAGAACTTTCGAAGACCACAGACAGATCAGTATCCTTTAAAACTTATTTGTTTTGAGCTTAAAAATAATTAACTCATCTTTATAGTTCATATTTTATCTGTTAGTAGTTAGGAAGATGTAAGCTTGATTATACTGTTTTTCATAAAGATGGAAATTGATTTATCCTGAGCTGTGTTTGTATATAGTAGGTTTTTATCTGGTATTTTAATGTAATTACAGATAATCCTCAACTTATGAGGATGGTTTGACTTTGATTTTTCAACTTTACTATGTATGAAAGTGATATGTGTTTAGTAGAAACCATACTTGGACTACCCATGCAGCCATTCTATTTTTCACTTTCAGTATAGTATTCAATAAATTACATGAGATACTCAACACTTTATCATAAAATAGGGTTTGCGTTAGATAATTTTGCCCAACTATAGGCTAATCTAAGTGTTCTGAGCATATTTAACAGAAACTAAGCTAAGCTATGATGTTTGGTAGGTTAGGTATATTAAATACATTTTTAAATTAAGATATTTTCACTTACTATGGGTTTATTAGGATGTAACCCTGTGGTAAGTTGAGGAGCATCTGTATTACTAAGTATAAAATATTACTACTGATTGTTTTTAATTGATCTCCATCTCTTGATTGGAAATATATGTTGTTTATTATTTTAGACTATTATTAGAGATTTGATTTGTGAGCATCCTGAGTATTTTAAAAATCATTTCCATAAGGATATTCTTTGATCACCTTTATGTAATAATTATATTTATGTGATGCATTGCAGCATTTAAAAGACAAAGTACATATTTAATGTAAGTGCTGAATAATTTATGCTAGTGTTTACTACTGACATTCTTTGTTGTAGCTTGCACAACTGTGTTTGCTTTACAAATCTGTCCTTAAAAGTGGAGAGAATATTTTTCCACAGGCTTTTTATTTGGTATGCTTTTCACATTTGTTAGAGATAAAACTATTTGCTTCTATGGGATTTCTGAAACTCACATTGAAGTTTGAAAAAAAAGCTTATCAAAATTGTGCTGCTTTATGAATAAGATTATCTAATTACTTGTAGGTATTTAGATTCTGTCCAAAGATAACATTTATGATTTTGACAGTAAAATATAGTTTCTGAAAGATCAATTATATATTACCCATTTTTATAGAAAAACAACTTGTGTGATTTTTTTCTTGCACAGAGATACAAGCCATTACATTAATATATTTTGATATTTGGATAGAAATCTTTTAAGCTATAATCGAAAAGTTAGTAATTTGCATTTGACCTTTTCTGTTTCTACTCCCCATACTCCCTTCCCACAAATTTAGCAATCTGGTATCCAAGACTGTTTTTATTATAGAAAGATTATGAGGTAAGAGCAGGAGGTATATTTCAGGTATAAAAAATTGTGTGAGTAAAAGTAAGGTCTGAGGAAATATGACCTTTTAGGATTTCGATGTAACAAGATTTAAGTTTTGTGGGGCAAGTGGCAGAAGCAGCTTAAAAAAAGGTATTTTTGTCCAGAATGTGAAGGATTTTCAATATTATGTATAGCCATTTTGGCCTCATTTCATTGGCCCAAGTATTTAAAACCCCATGAAGGGGTTTGAAGGAGAAACATTAGAAAAACTAACTTCTACCACAAGGGAGATGAATAGGAGGTGGGAGGAGATCCTGGAGGCAGAGAGTCCAGGTAGTATACTAGTACAGCTTCAAAATGAGCAGTGATGAAGATCTGTCAGACATTGACATTGAGAATGGACAGGAAGGAATTGGAAACATTGGAAAGAAATTAGGAAAGGAGGAGTAGTTGGACTAGATTAAGAGTGACTTTGATACTCAAGACACTAAGATAACCCCAAAGTTTTTAGATTGAGTAACTGTAAAATTTATTCACTGAGAGAAGGAATTCATTACCAGAAAGAGGATTAAGAGTTAGAAATTAAAAATAATGAGCCATGCTTGATTACTTTGGGCAGATTGAAGTGTCTGTTACACATATATATGGAGTTACCCTACTTGGTAGCTGGAAACATGAGTCTGAACCCCAGAAGAAAGTGGTATAAGCAGATTGAGGATTTACTTAGCATGTAGGTGTGGTATAAAGTCTTAGGTCAAGTTCTGTTCACCTAGGGCTGTGGTCTTTTATTCTTTTTTGGTTTTTGTTGAGAATACTGTTTCCTTCTCTGAAAAATGAAGGCCTGTGACTGAATCTTGGAGAAATAAGCTTGGTATAAGGAAATACAGCCAAGCAAACAAATCAGTGTCCTGGGTGGTGGTTACCAACTTCTTATCCCTTTTTCTGCTCCTCACCCACAAGCCTGAGTTGATATGTAAGACCCCTTAAATTGAAGAATCTCCCTTTTCTGGAAGTTTTTGTATATGGCAGGGTTTGTACATTGGGATTTTTGGGCTTCTCTTGACTATTAAAGGGTAAGTTACTTGAGGTTCTTGAAAGTTTGGGCTTTATCCTTTATATAGTACCTTGTGGATTAAAAAGTAGCTTCCAAGCTATTTAATTCATCACCCTGATTCCATGTTGTTTTCAAATAAGCCTGAACAATATTAAGGGAGAAACAATAGCTTCTTGGTATCCTCATTTATTGAACTCTTCTATGTATTATTAGTGTAGGTTGGTAGGAATACTATTTCTTAAGTAATTACCATCAATTTTATGATGAACCTTAGAGAAGTAAGGGTTAATAAGGTAGTTCATTATTAGTTCTAGTATTTTGGCTGATGTATTTAAAAATATTTGATCCTTATCTAAATATTTCAGAAAAGATGAGATTTTTATAGTGTATTAGTATCTGATATCTGTAAATTCTTGGCCTTTGACACAATGAAAATGCAATATTAGAAACAATAGCTATAGTAGCTTTACTGCTTAATAAGAGTTTGCCCTATGCCAAGCCCTGAGCTTGGCATCTCATTTTATGTACATAATTTTTTTTAATTCTCAGTGATTCAGTGAGGTAGGGCATAATATTTTGTTTTTCTGGGGCAGTGGAAGGATGAGATGCTCAAAGAGCTATTAAGAAACATCCCAAAGCCTCTAGATTTTCCCTCCTTTATGAGGGAACTTAAATATTTAATGATAGTCTGAGTAAAGTAGTTGTTGCCACATTCGAGTCTTGATTTCCTTTAAAAATAGATAGGCTGATAGTTTGACACTCTGCAACTAGATCGTAAAGTGTAGGTGAATATTTCTACTTTTCAGTACCTGGTATGATTCATGATAGGCTTTTGGATTAAGTGTATGTATGTTATTGTTCCCTCAAGCATGCTTATTTGATTTTCAAACCAAATATTACTTCTTCCAAAGCATTTACAAATTATGGTTATATTTACATGAGGTGTTGAACTTTTATTGTTCACACGGTTGTAGGAAGAGGGGCTCTTTAAAGAGGGGCTTTGTCCAAACATGTTTGAGATAGATGACTACTTCTGTTAAGAGTATAAGATGACAACTCTTGGACCAGACCCCCATCTAATGTAATACTATAGCCTTTAAAAAATTACCTCAATTATTAAAACAATACTTTTATCATTTCATTTTTTAATAATGAAACATTGAGATTTAGAGGCTTTATAAGGGAGACTATTAAGAAAAGCAGCTTCCCTCCCATCATTCTGAAGCTTGTAGCTTTTTGAAAAGCCTAACATCTCTACACTTTTATAGATATAACTATAGTTGTCTCATCCCTAGAGACAAGTGGAACCAAACTGAGTTAAACTCATATTGCATTCTTAACAAGATTTGTCACTTTTTAAAAGCTTTGCAATTTACAAAAGTTATGCAAAAGCTACTGTAAAAGTGTAATTTCTCATGTGGGATGTGGTTAATTATAGGCTGCATGTGCTAGTGCATGACAAATGATAAAGCTTTACATTAAGCTTTTCATTATTAGGATATTTCGTCTTATCTAAAAACTTTAATTACTTCAGTTCCATGAGATCTATTGTGCACCAAAGCTAATCAGCAGTTCTTCTCCTTTGAGCTTTTCAAAATTTTACTGCTGTCAGTGCTGTGTCTGGAACTGGAAGATTTTGTTCTTTGGGAGTAGATATTAATTTAATTGTCTTTCAAAGGGTATCTTTAAAGAAAGGAAAAAAATCTTAAAGTACAAACACATGTTAAAAGATAAAGCATGTAGTAATGTTGAAATTTTTTCTAGGCTTGAATAGTACCAGTTTAGTTAGGGGACAGGGAGAAGTCAGGGTGCAGTACTGAATACTTTGTAACAATAGGTGTGGGGAAGATTGTGGGATATTTTAATGTTTATTTACTAAATCCCAAATCAGCCACTTGTACTTGAATTGTTATTAATATATTCCTTGCCTGATTCCCTGAAAATATCATTATTCTATTTTTCATTTTTTTGGTTATATTATTGATCTACATCAGTATAAGTCTTTTTGTCCCAAATGACTAACGGAGACTGAAAAATGAAGCTGAATGTTTTCTTATCTCCAAATTCATTGGTTCTTTGGTTATGGTTTCTCATTTACTCGTCTATTTAAACTTGGTGGGATGCAAGCCATCTTAACCTTAATACAATAGTTGCTATTTCGTGTTCCTACCATCTTTGAAAAGATTTGCTTATCAAAATACTTTTGTGAATAATAGAGCTAAAACTTAAATATCATTCAATATGTGCCATGCACTAGTCTTAGTTTTTTTTTTTAATTGCATAATATTATGGTGGTACACACATAATGGTAACATAATTTGCTTTTGTACAGTTTGAATCAAAGTTATAAGTGTGCCCTTCATCCAGATAGTGTACATTGTACCTGTTATGTGTGAATTGACCCATCTCCTCTTCTCCCTCCCCATCTCAAATGCTTGATTTCTGTTGAGATTTACTTCCATATGTGCACATAAGTGTTGATCAATTTGTTCAGTTTAGTACTAAGTACATGTGGTGTTTGTTTTGCTATTCTTGTGATACTACACTTAGAAGAATGGTCTCCAATTCCATCCAGGTTATTAACAAAAGATACTAGATCACCATTGTTTATTATGGCTGAGTAGTACTCCATGGTATACATATACCACATTTTATTAATCCACTCATGTATGGGCACTTGGGTTGTTTGCAGATCTTTGTGATTGTGAATTGTGCTGCTATAAACATTTGAGTGCAAGTGTCTTTTTCATAGAATGTCTTTTTTTTTTTTTCCCTTTGGGTAAATTCCTAGTAATGGGATTGCTGGATCAAATGGTAGGTCTATTTTTAATTCTTTGAGGTATCTCCTTACTACATTTCATAGAAGTTGTACTAGTTTGCAGTCAGTCCCACCAGCAGTATATGAGTGTTCCTATCTCTCCGCATCATGCCAACATTTGTTGTTTTGAGACTTTTGATAAGAGCCATACTTACTGGAGTTAGGTGATAATCTCTTTTTGGTTTTGATTTGATAATCTCTTTTTGGTTTTGATTTGCATTTCCCTGATAATTATAAACACCGAGCATTTTTTCATGTGTTTGTTGGCATTTGTCTATCTTCACTTGAAAAGTTTCTGTTCATGTCTTTTGCCCACTTTTTAATGGGGTTTGATTTTTTTCTTGCTGATTTGCTTGAGTTCTTTGTCGATTCTGGTTATCAGCCCTTTATTGGATGTATAGCATGCAAATATTTTCTTCCATTTGATAGATTATGTGTTTGCACTGTTGATTATGTCTTTGGCTGTGCAGAAGCCGTTTAATTTTTTCAGGTCCTATTTATTTATTTTTGTTGTTGCTGTGATTTTTCATAAATTCTTTGACTAGGCCAACATCTGGGAGAATTTTTCCTACATTTTCTTCTAGAATTCTTACAGTTTCATGCCTTAGGTTTAGGTCTGTTATCCATCGCGAATTAATTTTTGTGACAGAAGAGTCACATGTCTTTCATTTTAAATCAAATGCTAGAAATGATTAAGCTTGGTGAGGAAGACATGTCAAAAGCCAAGATAGACAGAAAACTTAGCCTCTTGTGCCAAACAGTTAGCCAAGTTGTGAATGGAAAGGTAAAGTTCTGAGAGGAAATTGAAAATGTTATTCCAGTGTACACACAAAGGATAAGAACGTGTAACAGCTTTATTTGCTGATGTGGAGAAAGTTTGAATGGTCTGGATAGAAACTTATACCAGCCACATTTCCTTAATCCAAAGCTTAATCCAGAGCAAAGTCCTAATTCTTTAATTCTGTGGTGGCAGAGAGAATAGAGGAAGCTGCAGAAGAAGAGTTTGAAGCTAGCAGAGGCTGGTTCATGAGGTTTAAGGAAAGAAGCCATATCCAGAACATAAAAGTACAAGGTGAAGCATCAACTGCTGATTTAAAAGCTGCAGCAAATTATCCACAAGTTCTAGATAAGATAATTGATGGAGGGTCAGATGATTGTTAGCTGTTTTTATCAATAAAGTAATTTTTAATTAAGGTATGCCCATTTTTTAGACATAATGCTACTGTACATTTAATAGACTACAGTATAATGTAAATATAAATATGGTCTGAGAAACCAGAAAGTTCTCCAAGCTACCTTGAAAATGAAGGAGCCCTTCAAATTTGATACTTTTCTTCAGATTTTATAGCATTTATCATCATTAGCAGAGATTGACTGATTCACAAATGAACTTATTATGAGTCATAACATCATCCTGAAGTTAGATATCAGACTTCGTGGTTTCAAATCATAACTCTCCTCTATTATAGAATGCCAGAGAACTTTCTTAAACTTTCTGTGTCCTGGGTTTAGTTATGAAGTGGCACTTACCTCATAGGCTGTTAAGAGGAAAAAAAGGAGATAAAGTTCTTTTCACTTACTCACTTTGTAGAAAACTTGTCCTTAAAAACAGTGTTTGTTCATTCTGCTTACTTAATAAGTGGAATGTTTAGATTTCCAACTTCCTGTCTCTGGCCACCTTTGAGTGCTTTCATAATTCCTCATTCTTTCAGTATCCACTGTATACATTAAGTCCTCACTTATCTTAGGTTCTTGTAAGCTACAACTTTAACCAAAACGACATATAGGGAGACCAGTTTTACCATAGGATAGTTGATGTAAACAATTGAAGTAAACCTCCTGTGGTGTATTTCTGGTCACAAATAGATCTCCAAACTTCTAAATAAAAACCTAAACTATTTCTAATGTTGAACATTGAAATAAATGTGAGCTATACGTACACTTAAGAAAGATTAAATGTATTAAATGATTAAAAACAGGATCATTTTTTACCTGATTTTTGGTGAATCAGTGAGTGATGGCAGTTGTAGTGGTGGTGGGTTAAATCAAGGAATAAATGTTTGCAAAGCGAACATTGTTAAGGAGCACTTCTTCCCACCACGTAGTTCAAAACTAAATAATAACAAACATGGTGGGCTTGCTGAGCACTTTTGTACTACATAATTTATTGTGAATTAGTATGATTATTATATACTTGATGAATTTTTATTTCATAATAATTTGTATTCACTCATTCATTTTCTAACATTCTTAATCCAGTTTAGGGTTGCAGGTATCCAGAGCCTATCCTGGCAGCTCAGGACACAAGGCGAGAACCAACTCTGGACAGGACACCATTCCATTGCAGGATGCAGTCACATACCCACATTTACACTGGCACTATTTAGACATGCTAATCAACCTAATGTGCACATCTTTGGGATGTGGGAGGAAACTGGAGTATCTGGAGAAAACCCACGCAGACACAGCATGGGGAGAATTTGCAAACTCCACACAGACTGTTGCCCTGGCCAGAAATCGTTTTTTTTTCCTTCTCAACATTATAATGAAATGACATTGAATGAAATGGCATTCTTCTAGGACCTGTTGTATGGTCTGTCAACTCTGTTATCTTTTGCCACAAGTGCCAGTTTAAAAGGCTCTTATTAACTTATAATGAAGGGTTATTGACTGAAAATGTATTGTTTTACTGCCCAGGTAATTTTTCATTTGAACAGAATGATGTTTTAACCTGGGGATCCACAGAGAGATTGTATTTCAGTGTAATTAGTTGCTTTTGTGATTCTATGCATTTTATGTTATGCATTGAAATCATTATCCCAGAAAGGAGTCTACAGGCCTTTTCCTGACTTCCAAAGGGGTTCATGGCACTATAAAGGTTAACAACCCCTGACGGAAGAATTCTCATTTCATGGAATACGATAAATCAGTGATTGAGTCATAAGAGAATTCATCTATGTCACATAACTCTTAAACACTCGTCCCTCTCTGTGGCTTACTCTGTCAACAGGTAAGGCAAATCCAGCCAACTTCAAAAAATTAAACAGTACTAACCTTGGTTTTATTTAGCTTCTTGACTTCTCCATTTCTCAGTGTTGCAAGGAAAAAACTAGTGACTGTTCTAATACAAAAAGAATCCTATACAATATACCTAGAGACAGTGTATATGGGAAATAACATAGATATTGGAATCACAATTTGTGTTTCTAATTTGCTGATTCTTCATCTATGATGTGAAAATAATAACATATACATTACTTTGTTGTGGAAGGAATTAAAGAACAAAAAATATGTACAATGTATAGCACACAGTATCTCCTACATTGTTGATACTTGCATGAATGTTATTAATAGTTTCCTTACTTATACTGAAAATCCAAAGTGAACCTGAATTGAATTTAGAGTTTGGTGGTAGGGGAAGGGTGGTGGTAGTGTGGGAATTAGGAATTGTGGTCATTCACTTTTCTTTCTAGAATTGGGTTGGGTGGTTTTTGTTGAGAGGAAATATTTTTTGCAAGAGATAGACTTCTTTAGGAGAAAAAGATTAGGTTACAGAATGTAGTGGCAGAAATAGTATGAGAAAGCACAGATTGGGGAGTAAGAAAATTAAATTTAGAATCTAGGCTTTATGGAGAGGAGTAAAACAAAGAGAAGTATACATGCCACTGAACTGATGTTTTTCCTTAAGTTATCTGTTTTCAGAGCAGTGGAATTTTTCATCAGAGATAAGTATGAAAAGAAGAAATACTACGATAAAAATGCTATAGCTATTACAAATGTAAGTAAAACCTTCATGTCTCATCAACTGATGTTTGTGGAGTGTATCTCAAACTTTTATGACATGGAATACAGCTCAAATTATTTATTACAAAAATATACTAGTTGTACATGTTTAACACATTGACCGTCACACCAGAAAAAAAATTTTTTTCCTTGGGGCCAAAGTGTTTTATTACAAAAATAGAATAAAAACTTTGAACAAATTGTCCTTTCTAATTTAATGAAAAATTAAATTTATAGACTTCTATTCATTTAATCCATGTTTTTAGAACTAACTTTTCAATATTAATTGTAACAATAAGAACATCAATAAGTAACATTTTCATGAACTAAATGCAGGGCTTTGCATATACTTCTTGACCATTGTGTGTCTTCTTTTGAAAAATGTCTATTTGGGTCCACTGCCTACTTTTAAATGGAATTTTATTTTATTTTTTTTTGCTGTTATTTGAGTTCCTTGTATATTGTGGGTGTTAGTTCCTTGTCAGATGAATAGTTTGCAAGCATTTTTTCCCTTTCTACAGCTTGTCTCTTGATTCTATTGATTATTTCCTTAGCTGTGCACAAGCTTTTAAGTTAGATACCATCCTTTTTGTCCATTTTGTTTTTGTCACTTATGCTTTTGAAGTCTTGTCCATGAAATCAATGTCGTGAAGTGTGTCCCCTGTTTTCTTCTGGTAATTTTATAGTTTTGGGTCTTCTCTTTAAGTCTTTAATTCATTTTGAATTGATATTTAATACATGACAAGAGATAGGGGTCTGGTTTTATTCTTCTGCATATAGATTTCCCAGCACCATGTATTAAAGAGGGTGTCATTTCTTCAGTGTATGTTTTTCTTGGTGCCTTCATCAAAATATCAGTTGGGTATAAATATAATGCTTGGATTTATTTCTGCATTCTCTCTTCTGTTCCATTAGTCTGTGTGTCTGTTTTTATTCCAGTATCATGCTGTTTTGGTTATTATAGTTTTATAGTATATTTTAAAGTCAGGTAGTGTAATGTTTCCTCCAGCTTTATTCTTTTTGCTCAGTATTGCTTTGCTATTTGGGGTCCTTCATAGTTCCAGATGAATTTTAAAGTCGTTTTTTCTATGTCTGAAGAATGCCATTGGTATTTTGCTAGGAATCGCATTGAATCAATAGGTTTGTTTGGATGGTATGGTCATTTTAACAATGTTAATTCTTGCAATTCATGAACTTGGGATGTCTTTCCATTTTTTGGTATCCTCTTTAATTTCTTTTATCAGTGTTTTGTAAAGTTCTCCTGATAGAGGTCTTTTACCTCCTTGGTTAAATTTATTTTTAGGTATTTTTATTAGCTATTATATAATAAATGAGATGGTTTTCTTGGTTTCTTTTTCAACTATTTATTGGTGTATAGAAATGCTACTGATTATTGTATGTTGATTTTGTATCCTGCAGCTTCACTGAATTTGTTTATTCATTCTAAGAGCTTTTTGGTGAGGTCTTTAAGTTTTTCTACATATGAGATCATGTCATCTGCAGAGACGGACAATTTGACTTCCTTTTTTCCAATTTGGATGTCCTCTCTTTCCTTCTTCTTGCCTAATTGTTCTGGCTAGGGCTTCTAGTACTATGTTAAATAAGAGTGGTGAAAGGGGAGTATCCTTGTTCCTGTTTTTAGAGGAAAGGCTTTCAGCTTTTCCCCATTCAGTATGATATTAGCTGTGGATTTGTTATATATAGCCTTTATTATGTGGAGGTATGTTATTTCTATGCCGAATTTGTTGAGAGTTTTTATAATACTGTGGAGAAATACTGAATTTTTATCAAATCCTTTTTTGTCCTTCATTCTGTTGATGTGACGTATCACACTTATTGATTTGCATATGTTGAACCATCCTTGCATCTTTGGAATAAATCCTATTTGATCATGGTATGCTATCTTTTTGATTAGCTGTTGGATTTAATTCACTAGTATTTTGTTGAGGATTTTTGCATCTGTGTGTTCATCAGGAATATTGGCCTGTGGTTTTCTTTTTTTGTTGCATCTTTGTAGGTTTTGATATTAGGGTAATGCTAACCTTGTAGGACAAGTTAGGAAGAATTCCATTCTTTTTAGTTTTTAGAATAGTTTTGAGAATAATTGCTGTAATTGTTTGGTAGAATTCAGCAGTCTGGTCCTGGGCCTTAAAGAAACTTTTTATTGCTAATTCAATCTCATTGCTCATTATTGGTTGTCTATTTATGTTTTGTATTTTTTCCTGGTTCAATCTTGATAGGTTATAGGTATCCAGGAATTTATCCATTTCGTGTAGATTTTTTAATTTGTCAACACATGGTTGTTCATAATAGTCTCCAGTGATCCTTTGTAGTTCAGTGATATCAGTGTAATGTCTCCTTTTCGGTTTCTGGTTTTATTTACTTGGGCTTTTATGTTCTTAGTCTAGGTAATTTGCCAATTTTGTTTCTTTTCCAAAATCCACCTTTTTATTTCATTGGATGTCTTTCTATTTTTTTGTATCCTTTTTAATATTTTTCTGTTTCTTTTTAGTCTGTATTTTGTTTAGGTCTTCTCTGAACTTTCTTTCCTTCTACTAATTTTGGGTTTGGTTTGTTCTTTTCTAGTTGCGGTACATAGTTAGGTTGCATATTTGAAATCCTTCTGCTTTCTTGAAGTAGGTGTTTATTGCTATAAAATTCCTAATTTGTGTTGCTTTTGCTGTATCCTCAAAAGTTTTGATATATTATGTTTCCATTTTCATTTGTTTCAAGGAAGTTTTGATTTCCTTCTTAATTTTTTCCGTTTACTTTGGCTCCCTATGTCCTACGGGCAAACTCCCTGATGTGCTAGACTGCCTATTTTCCAAGGTGTAGGGTTCTGGTTATTGTATTAATTTTATTTGCTGTTTAACATTACTAGAAATATAGTGGCTTAAGACAATGCAGATTTACTATCTTACAGTTTCTGTACAGAGGTCAAGAGTTTGAGCATGGGTTGGGTGGATTCTCTTCTCAGGATCTTACTAGGCTGAAATCAAAGACTTAACCAGGGCTACAATCTCATGATTCTGAAGGTCTTCTTTCAATCTCACAGTTGTTGTCAGAATTCATTTCCTTGTGGTTGTTTGACTGAGGTCCTGTGTTCTTGCTAATGTTAGATGGGGCCTGTTGTCAGTTCATATTGGCCATCTTTGAGTCGTTGCCAAATAACCTCGTCCTCTCTCAAAATGGAAGTTTATTTCTTTGAGGCCACTAGGAGAATTTCTCTCACACATCAAATCTCTTATTTCAGAAAAGGCCCAGCCCCTTTTAAGGGCCCACCTAATTAGGCCAGGCTTATCCAGGATAATCTCCTTTTTTGATTAATTCATCATCAACTGATTTAATATCTTAATTTTGCACAATTTCTTCACTTTTGTTATATAACCACCTAATCACGGGAGCAAAATCCATCATATTCACAGTCCTGCCCACAATCAAGGGAAGGCCATTATACAGGGTTCATACACCAGAGAGTGGAATTCTGTTTACCATACTAATACAGAATGAGTCTGCTCTCCCTTGTTCTTCCTTAATTCAGTGAGTGATAGGGGAAATTAGAAATACTTTGCCTGCAGAAATCTGTCCTATCTGCCTTCTTCCCCTCCTGCTCTTAACTAATAGTGAATTACAACTGGAAGCACAGTGAGTTGTTAGGAGATCTAGCAGATTTTGAGTGGATGAGGCTGAACTGCCACACATTATTTGCTCTTTACCTCCAGCAGCTCTTCTCTTTCCTTCTTCCTCTCTCCTTCCCCTATTCCATATCCACACCCCCCCCCCCCCACCCTTTAGCGAGTGAGTTAGGATTAGTATAATAGAGCATAGTTTCTGGTTGATTTTCTTTTTTACTACTTTTCATTACAATTTCAGCTTCCTTTTCTGTAGAATAGGGACGATCATAGTGTCTAAATTTTATAGTATTGCTGTAAGAATTAAATAAGGTAAGGCATGCTGTATTCTTAGTAGGTATCTAGCACATAATTGCTTAAAATATAAGCTATAGTGATAATTACATTAGTGAAGAGGAAGGAGGATGGTGGCAGCAAATGGCTGTAGGCAGGTAGATAATTAAGAAAAATTAATACCTGAACTTAACTATAAGACTTTAGATCATTGGAAAAATTTTGGCTTAAGTTCACTTTCATTAATCCTTCCACATTTTAGTCAGCCCTTTAATTATGGGATGCAAGGTAACTTGATGTGGCAATTAAAAGACTTATCACTTTGCAAGTTTTTCAGAATTCTACATAGTTCTTACTGACTTAGCCAAAGATTTTAAAGTTAATACATTTAGATGTAGGCTTTTTCTACACATTTGGTAGCTATGGTTATTTGGTTAAGTTTATCAAAGACTTTTAACCCTCCTAATGATATATTTAATTGATGATGTCTCTTGTGGGATTTATTTATTAGTTTAGTAAACATGGGTTTCAGCATTTGTAGCTAAGAAATACCCTGGAATATAAATGACATTAGAAATCATATATTTAAAATAATTTCTAGACTTCTGAGAAACTTGAGCTTATGATATATTGAAAGCTCATGAGACAGCCATATGAGAACTGCTATGATAAAATCTCCATTTAGAAAATATATCCAAGAATTTCCAAAGTGAGTTTGAAGCAGTCTGTTGCTAGCAATTAATCCCTATGGTATTTTTCAATGATCATATCTTTTTCAATGTTTAGGACCAACAGATTTTATTTTCATAATACTATTCTGTTTAAAAAGGTGATAGTAGCAAAGATTTCAAAAAGAAAATTCATCAAGAAAATAATGTGGCTTTTGAAAAGGTAATTGAACATTTTACTTTATTGCCTTTAATTAATCATATCTGGTACTTTTATAATACTTAATACCTTTTCAGAGGGTATTTGTTCACCATTTTATTGTAGATAGGAGTTGGGAACTTGTTTTGCCTGATGAGTTTTTCTTTTGCAGGAAGTGAATTTATATAATTATACTATTCTGAGAGTTTCTTCACATATAGTTTATTTTGATAGTGGCCTAGAGGAGAACCTCTGTGCTTAAGAATAATTGAAAGAAGGGCAGTTAACTCATTTTATTCCTGAAGAATGTCTTCACTGGGTTCCCACTATGTATTCTCTCGTGGATAGAAGGGGTGGGCAGGAAAGGGGTAGGGGACAGAAGAACATTTAAATATGACTGAATTTACTAACAGTACCCATTTTCAGCAAAAATTTCTAAGGCCAAGGTCTTATGCTCTCTCTATATATAAAAGTACTAGAATCCAGTGGAGTAGCATTAATATCTAGTTACAAAATGAATTCTAAATTTGAAAATAAATGTAGATAACTTGTAGGATTTCAGAAAAGTACATTAGCAAGCCAGTGACCTTTCAAAGGATGATGATAACTGCTGAGAGTGAACCTCCTTTTAGTTCTCCCTCAGAGATACTTCATTCCTCCTCTTTTACAGAGATATTAAAAAATATTTATTGAAACTTGTTGAATGTCAGATGCTAAAGACAGTGAACAGAGTAGAAACAGCATCTGCCTCAGAGAACTTTGAACAAAGAATACTGATGAGTAATCAGATCTTTATAAGACAGGATGTGATAACTTCCATAACAGAGAAATATTATAGGAGGTACTTTTGGGGGCTCTGAAAGGAGCTTCTTACCCCAATCTGGAGGTATCAATGAATACATTGAATACTTCCTGGAAGAGGCAGTATCACCTCAAAATTAAAGGCTTGGTAGGAACTAGTAGAGGTGTGGATTTTTGAAGCAGAAGGAATAGCAGGAGCAAAGGCCCCTAGAGTCAGGAGAAGCAGACTAGAGAGCTGAAACCAGTAGGAGTGGTGTGTAGTTGGACAGCAGAGTGTAACCAGAACAGGGAAAGATAAGGATATAAGGTAGATAACACTTGATTAAGAAGTTTGGACTTTGCCCTTTTATAATGTGCGTAAACTATATAAGGCTTCTAAGCAGGGCTGTGTGGTGATCAGACTTGATTTGAAAATGACACAATATGAAGAATGGATTTGGAGAAGAGCAAGACTTGGGGCAAGGAGACTGGTTAGGAGGACTAATCCATAAGATGGATATTGGTGTTTTCCTACTAGGGTGGTTAGTGGAGGTGGTGATGAGTGAATACTTTTAGAAAGAGATTTAGAAAGAAGACTGAAGAGTACCTACTTTTTCTTGCCTCTGTATTTTCTTTCTTTTCTCCTTCTCACTGCCTGTTTTTTCTTCCCTCATTTTCTACTTCTATGTTATAATCTATGGTGACTTTTTGCTTCCAGTTGTCAATACGTTATAATCTCTATTTCTTTATTCCTTGCTCATATAATGTATCTAAGCCTACTCACTGACTTTTTGAAAACCAACCTTATTGAGATATCATTTATATAAAATAAAAGGTAGACATTTTAAGGTATAGTTCAATGAGTTTTGACAAACCACCACCACCACAATCAAGATATTCAACCTTTCCATCACTCCAAAAGGTTCCTTTGTACCCCTTGCTAATCAGCTCCCAACAGTGCCCCAGGTAACCACTGATTTACTTTTTATCACTGAAGATTATATTTTCTTTTCTAGAATTTCATATGAGTGGTTTCATACACTGTGTACTCTTTTGTGTCTGACTTCTTTCTTGCAGCATGTTTCTGAAATTCATCCCTGTTTTTTTGTACTATGAGTTCGTTCCTTTTTTTATTGACAAATAGTGTTTCATTGTATGGGTATACCACAATTTGTTTATTCATTCACTTGTTGATATGCCCATTGGCTTCAAATGTCTTTCCTATTGAACTTTTTTTTCTATTTTTTTTTCCTATTTTTTTCCTATTTTCTTTCCCAGTTGGAACATGGTATTAAAGTTTTCCCCTCCCCTCCCCACCTCCCCTTTTTTCTTTCCTTTTCTTTTCTTTTGCATTAAAATGTTTGTTAAATTATTGATATTTGTTGAATAGAATTTTATAATCCTTCTGAATGTTAAAAGTGGCCAAACCAAGTTCATCATTCTCAAAAGGAGAACAAGCATTTTTACAATGAATTATTTTGCTAGTTTCTAAGGGTTAGTAATTCTTGACATACTAAACGTCCCTAGTCCTCTTTTATATTTTTTATGTTCTGCTTTTTATGAGTTTAGGCAAAGAGGTATTTATGATACAAGTCATCTTCTTGAGTGATTTTATGGCTTCTTATTCTCTTGTTTTCTACATTAAGTGGTAATTAAAGATCTCTAGCAAGTGAATATTCAGTAGGACAAATCAGCTTTAAGCTAGGCTTTAAGGCACAGTTTTTACTTTATTAAATGGAAGATCTACATTTCCTTGTATTGTTTATTTCCTTCTATATGTAATTTGCATAAGTGGTCATTAAATGGCTAGTTTACACAATTAAAACAGAGCCAGTAATATGCAAAGAATAAATCCCTAAAGTTTATAGCTTTGAGTTGTGATTCAAGAATTGCTACCATAACTAACTTAACAAATAGATTGAAGGAGGACTTGTCATCTTGCAATGTTATTTTGACATTACATAACGACCTATCTGTAATAGCACCTTTTAGTTTTAAAAATCCCTCATAGCCCTATTGATATGATAGGGCAATATAGAGATGTCAGTTTTATAGCTCCAAAGATCTACTATGCATTTTGTAAGCGTATTTCAGTTATATTTTGGCAGTAAAGAGAGCAGGAAGATAATGCTTCCATTAAAATGATCAACTACGCTTATAGAAATTGGGTAGGAAGATGTGTGAAAAAGCTTTTAGATGAAACCCATTTTCATGTATAAATTTCCTCTGCTGCATATATAACTGTCTTATAATGCTTTGGGGTAATTCAGCAAGTACTACACTGGAAATGATGTTTGCCTACTGATCTTAAAGTAGGAAGTGTATAAATTGTTTTATAATAAGCCTGCTGCTCAGCTGTTATATTACATTAGTCTACTCTTTTTTCTCCCAGCCTTTTTTCTGTTTTCTTAAACAGTTGATTAAAATTTTAATTAACTTTTACTATTTCAGCTCTGTTTTATTTTTCATTCTTAAAAGTTGATGTAAGTAAAAACAAAAACTCATTTTTGCTATCCTGCCACTTGGGACAATGTGTCTTCATGCTTCAGAGCATTAGTATTTCAATACTAACATTGACTAAAAACAAACTATAAGAAAAGCTTATTTCTCAAAACTTTTGGTATGATCTTATCTGAGTACACTTAAAATTTCATATCCCAGTAAAATGTTTTAAGTCATACATTATTCTATACTAAATTCGTGTAGAAATTTCAAATGGAAATTTTAGAAAAACAATACTTCCTTCTTGGTGCGTGATTTTCCTTTGTTAACATACTTCTAAGTGCTTCTGTCTCTCAGAAATGTACGGGTCATTTTTTCTTTCCTATGCCTGTCAATTCTGACTACCTCCTTTTTGTTTTTTTCTCCTGACTTTTCATCTGTACTCCACAGATTTCCTCCTCTGATGCTCCTCTTCAGCCTTTGGTATCCTCTCCTTCTCTGCAAGCTGCTGTTGAGAAAAACAAATTGGAGGTATGATAGTGTTTTAGTTTAGCTACATTATGTGATATTCAGTGGTAAATGAACTTCCTTTTGCAGTGTGACATAATTTGGGAGCGCTATAATAATTGTTTATATTTTGAATGGTCCGCAGTAGTAAATGTGTTCAATACAGCAATTTCTAGAATATTTTCTTATATTGCAGGTAAGATTAAAGGGCTTTAATTTGTATATAATTTCAGACTCACTGATTGGTGCCATAGATATATTTCAGTGGTTAAGAAACAGCCTTTTGTTGTTGTGTTCAGTAGTATCCTCTAGGAACTTTTTTACAGTTTGTTGTTGAATTCTTTGATCTGTTAGGAAAATCTTTGATTAAAAGTCATTTCTGTCTATGATTGTGTTGTTATAAGCACTTAAAGTTAATGTCAAGTTTCTTTTTTTAAGCAGTAGTGACCATCATACAGTTAAAATGTATGTAGTATGGGATCATGAGTTCATAATCATCAATGATAATTGTTAGAATGCATTTTGTGTGGGGATGGTTAGGATGCATGGTACCACCATGTGGTATTTTTAAAATCATCCCTACAAATATTTGAGAGTTTTAATTTTCATTGACTTTTTTGCTATGTTGACCTTAATGAAATAGCTTGAGGCATTTTTTCGGCTATCATTTCCCATGTCTGTTCCTTGATAAATGGTATAGTAGACATGAAGGATACAAGGATAAATAAGATATAGTGCCTGTTCTCAAGGAGCTTACAATCTAATGGAGAAAAACAGATAACTGTACAGTGGTTTATAATGCAATATAATGTGTGCTGTGATTGAGTTATACTCACTGTGTTGCTATTAATACAGGAGACATACTTTGTATGCATGTTATATACTCTGAATGAGCATTAGATGTAAGAATATCAGGCATTCCAAGTAGAGATAGTAGCTTGTGAAAAACCATATAGGCAAAGTGTAGTGTTTGAGGAGTTGCAGGTAGAATGGCATGGCTGAAATGTGAGCAGGTTAGGGACAAAGGTGGGAGAGGAGCCTTCTTGTGAGCCTACTAACGGAGTTTGGTCTTAATTCTGAAGGCCCAGGCACTTCAGGGATGAGTTTTAAGGGGAGGTGGGGTAACAGAATCACATTTTCATGTTATAACACTGCTCTGCTGGCTTCATAGGGAATGAATATTGTGATGATGGGTGAGGAAAAGGCCTGAGAACCTGTTGCTCTAATCCAGGAATAAAATGATGGGGCCATATATCAAAATGGGGGTAGAAAGAATGAAAAAGAGAGTATAGTTTTAAGAGATCTTAAGAAGGTAGAATCCATGGGATTTATTTATTTTTTAATTTTTATTTTAGTAATGGAATGTTGCTCTGAAACTCAGGCTGGAGTGTAGTGACCTGATTATATATAGCTCACTGAAGCTTCTAACTTCAGGGCTAAAGTGGTCCTCCCCTCTCAGCCTCCTGAGTAGCTGGGACTACAGGCATGTGCCACCATTCCCTGCTTGCTTGCTTATTTATTCATTTATTTATTTTAGGGACAAGTCTCTCAGTGTTGTCCAGGCTGTCCTCAAACTTCTGGCTTCAAGTGATCCTTCTGCCTTGGCCTCCCAAAGTGCTAGGATTATAGGCATGAGCTATCACACCTGGCCCATGGGATTTAGTAATAGATGAATTGCAGAGGTGCTTTGAGGGAAGCCTTGTGACTCCCAGTTTCTGGCTTGAGCATCTCAACAGGTGATGGTGCTTTAATGAAATAAGGATAAAAGCTGAATTAAAGTTGGACATGTTGAATATGAGGTAACTGTGGAACATCCAGGTATCTAGTAGGTGGTTGGATATACAGGTCTATAGCCCAGAAGAAAGAAGGGGGTCCAGGGGGTGGGGGCCAGAGAGAAGGAGAGAGGGAGAGAGAAGAGAAAGTTATCAAGATTGATTAACAAGAAGAGAGCCATGAGAATAGAAAAGTGGGAACAGTTGAACTTAGGTGATTCATTCTAGTGTTGTTGATGGCTTAGGTCAGCAGGCTGGCTCAGAAAAGAAGCACTCTAGGAGTGTGGGGGTTGCCATGAGAAAGTAGAAGGATGCCACCTTGACCTTTTCAAAATTTGCCCTGAGAAAGAGGTTAGAAACCCTGGGTTTACATTTTTATGCTATGTGGTTACTGCCTCCAGGTCTCAGAAAGCAGTGGTCTAATTCCATGGACTGTAAAATCTTGTGTGTATAGCCTAGGCAATCCATTTAAAATGTCTGTTCTTGTATGGATATTATGTTATATATGCTTTATAAGTAAATATCTACATTTGGTGGAGTATATATGTTTATAACTTTTTGATATTAGAGTACATAATCACAAATTTTAGAGACTATGTCTTTAATTAAATCATTCAAGGATTTTTTTTTAATGTAATCATTCCATTATAAGGAACCCAATATGTACTTTTCTCTATGTTATCAGACTTGAATGTTTTTAACAGTTTTCTTACACACAACATCTGCCATTTCACTATATTATTTGTATGTATTAATATAACCTCTAAGTTTCAGGAACTACTATTTTGTAATTCCAAACACTGCTGTATTTTGTTCTAGCTGAGAAAATAGTTTAAAACAACTTAAGTTCTCACAGTACTTTGATCTTTTAGTAGGTTTTGATTATATAGATGGGAGTCATCTGTGGGTTAGACTGAATGATGAGTTTGGAGTCCATGCTGTTAATGTTACTTCAAATCCTGTGTCATAATACCACTGCCAGAGCAGAACAGATGACAACCATATTTTGACAGTTGAAATTCCAATGTTAAAGAGCATCAAATCATGCTCTCCCTCTATTAATTATAGCTAACTAATTTGATTTATTTTTGGTGATTTCATATGTGCCGACCAATCATAGTTTGATTAGGAAGTCAAACTTCTTTCCTGCTCATGACAATGGCTTCCTCAAGAAAAAACTGTCTCCATCTGTGCTGGCTGCTAACAAAATATGATAGATTGAGTAGTTTATAAATAATAAAAAATCATTTCTCACAGTTATGGAGGTTGGAAAGACCAAAATCAAGGCTCTTGCAGATTCCATGTCTTGTGAGGGCCCACTTCCTAGTTCATGAAATGGCATGTTTTCATTGTGTCCTCACATGGTGGGAATGGGCAAGAGATCTCTTTGGGGCTTTTTAAATAAGGACAGTAATCCCATTTATTAGGGCTTCATCCTCATGACCTAATCCCCTCCCAAAGTCCCCACCTCCAAATACCATCACATTGAGGATTAGGTTCTGTAAAGTTTGAATTCAGTCAAAAGTCTGCACTTAAGGACCTAAAAGGCTACGTGTGGCCTTAAGTCCTCAGGTTCCTCACCGTTGATTCAGACCATAGCAATAACTAACAGCTCTGAGAGTTTATAGAGCAACTTATCCTCAACATATTAGTGAGAATGTTTTATCACATTGCTTTCCTCAGCAAACTTTACTATTAATAATAATAAATATCCAGAAAACATTTTATAATATATAAAGGATTTTTGTACATCTTGTCTCACTGATACAGTGGGGATAATATCCTTATTTCATAAAATTGTTGTGAGATTTAATGAGTCAAAACAGTTCCTGACATATAGTAAGAGTTCAGATAATATTAGCTATTGGTACGGAATAACAAACCACAACAACAAAGCTTCACAGGATCATAGTGAACAGTGAGATTTGAGAGTTTGGACTCTGTAGTCCCTCAGTCCTACCACTAGCTTTGATTCTCTATGTTGTGTTGAACGTTACTTTCCTAAGATTTTGTGGCTTTTTTTCCTTTTTTTAGATTTTGTTTCTCTATTTGTAAGATGACAGTAATGACAGCATTTTGTATAGTTATTGCAAAGATTAAATTAGATAATAAGGTGCTTATCACCTGGCCCATAAAAAGCGTGGTAGTTGTAGTTGTGTTTGGAAATGCAGGTTTGATTGAAAAATGGTTGAGTCACCTCACTAATAGGTAATGTTTCTAACTACCCTTAAAGAGTCATATCTTCCTTATGGCCCAGTATGAAGTCCAGGTACTTGAGCAGATATAAAAATCCTTTTTGGGAAATATACCCAACTTTCTAGATGGTCTTCTGTCTATGTTAGACTATGTTAGTATCCTTAATGTTCATAGCAAAATGTCACTTTTCACATATGCTCATTTGGTGGCTAAAACATATAGATTGCTCTGAGGTTTTAGCACTTTAGGTATTCAGAAAGCTCAACTTCATGTTGACTGTTATCCTGTTCTTGAAAAGCATTATGGAAATAGATAATCTTGGAGAATCTTAGCCTACAGGAGCAGCCTTAGATATAAACTCTTTTCATCCAGTTCTGGAAATTCTATCCATGTATTTGCCTTTTGCCGCAAAGCAATATACCTACACTTTGTGTTAGGTTATGCCTCTACTCAGATGCTTTCACTGATTGGTGAATTACTATTACACTCATTGCTTTCTATTAATGGCTAATAAAAGAAGATATTAATAAGGAAATGTTTTAGAATTTTTCCACTGTTCTTAAAATTACAGTTGAAGATACTGCTTATTCATGCCCTTAAAAGATCTTTGTTGAAATTCCTTCCTTCTTCCTTCCTCCTTCCTTCCTTCTCCTTCTTCCTTCCTTCCTTCCTTCCTTCCTTCCTCCTGCCTGCCTGCCTGCCTGCCTGCCTGCTGCCTGCCTGCTGCTGCCTTGCCTCTCCTCCTCCTCCTCCCTCCTCCTCCTCCTCCTTTCCTTCCTTTCTTTTTTTTTGAAACCGAGTCTCACTTTGTTGCCCAGGCTAGAGTCAGCATAGCTCACAGCAACCTCAAACTCCTGGGCTCAAGCAATCCTTTTGCCTCAGCCTCCCGAGTAGAGTAGCTGAGACTACAGGCATGCGCCACCATGCCCGGCTAATTTTTTTTTCTGTATATATTAGTTGGCCAATTAATTTCTTTCTATTTATAGTAGAGACGGGGTGTTGCTCTTGCTCAGGCTGGTTTCGAACCCCTGACCTCGAGCAATCTGCCCGACTGGTCTCCCAGAGTGCTAGGATTACAGATGTGAGCCACCACACCTGGCCACAAATTTCTTTTAAATGGAACCAGGACCAAAGTTTTTTCTTTCTTTCTTTTTTTTTAAGTCATACAGCAAATACTAAAATTATAGTTTCCCATATTTGTGTAGTGCTTTACAATCTACAAAGTTGTTTTTGAGGTTTTTATGCCTTTTATTTTTTCTTTTTAATACTAAAACACACATTACATGTGTTTCGTTTGCTAAATACTTATAAAACTATCACTGTATAACAAACATTGAACTGAACAGTGTTAGCATTTCAAAAGCTCCCATGTGACTCTCCCTGTTTATGAATAACATCATTCTGTCTCCTCAGAGGTAATTAACATCCTGACTTTTATTATCATCATCATTATCATTTCTTTTTAGCTTTTCTTCATAGTTTGATACTATTACATATACCCCAGAAGAACATAGTTTTGCTTGTTTTTGAATTTTATATGAATGGTTGCAAAGCCTTTTGAACTTTTATTATTTCTTTCTCCTGATGGCCTAAGAATTGCTAATATTGCCTTTCCTGATTTTACAAATGGCAAATTTATTCTGACAGAGGTTGCATCAAACATCATTTTAAAGGCAGGGGTGCACATGTAACCTGTAGGTGTCTTGACTAAGTTCTGTGTGTTTATCATGCTACTTTTCCTAGGTTCATCAATTTATCTTTTCATGTTTGCTGCCAGGAAACTTAGGGCTATGTTAGTGCTTAGTTGTAGTAGTTATTCAATCTGAGGTTTCGAGTCTTCTCTCCCCTCGAAATATCTTATTAATTCTCTTTGTTTAGTCTTTTTTCATTTTCCTTTTTTGGCATTTCGTGGCCCTTAACGGTGGTGGTGGAGGTGGTTGTTTTATAGATAAGATTCTCACTGTGTTGCCCTGTTGGGCCTCAAATTCCTGAGCTCAAGTGATCCTCCCACTTCAGCCTCCCAAGTGACTTGGACTGCAGACTCATACCATGGTGCCTGGCTTGTTGGTTTTAATCTTTAAATCTTTAATATTATATCCTGTCTTGTCCATCTTGGAAATGCAAATTGTGAACATCTTGATATCATTATAGTTTATCTTGACTGTCTTACATTAGTCAGTTGGCTCTGGTCCCCAAGCACTATTTCTTTTTTTGTTTTTTGTGTTTTGAGACAGGGTCTTGCTCTGTTGCCTGGGCTAGAGTGCAATAGCTCACTGCAGCTTCAAACTCTTGGGCTCAAGCAATTCTCCTGCCTTAGTCTCCAGAGTAACTGGGACTACAGGTGTGCACCACCACACCCAGATAATTTTTCTATATTTTGTAGATACAGGGTTTTTCTCTTGCTCAGGCTGGTCTCAAACTACTGGCTTCAAACAGTCCTCCTGCTTCAACCTCCCAGGGAGCTAGGATTACAGGTGTGAGCCACTGCGTCTAGCCCCGACACTATCTCTTAACATTTTTTTCATTAGAAAATTATATTTGCCTTTTTTTAAGCAAAAAACAATTATAATGAACTGAAAATACTTTGTGATTTTTTTAATTAAATTCATTTTATAGTTTCCCTACATGTTTACTTATTTAATTTGTCTTTATCTGTGTGGTAATGAAGTCTCTTCCATCAGTTAGTTTACTTTTTCTTTTTATTCAAACTTCAACTTTATAGTTCCTATCAGGAAGCCTAACCTTATGTAAGGATATGGTGAGAATTTATTGGAGTTCTCATTTGTTTAAAACAAACATGAAACAAAAACTAAAATATCAAAGAAGTACTATATTGTCTCATCTCTGCCTTAATTTTTTAAGAGATATTCTTTATTGTGTCATCAGCATGTAACCTCAATGAAAATTAATTTGGCATGTTTACTTTTATATTTCAATAGCACCTGGATATTGTAATCATTGAAAATTTCTCCTTTCTCAAATAATGACTTAAACTCATAAAATAAAAATGAGTCAAAATTTGCCATTTTTTAAAAAAGTAAACTTAATTATCAAAACTTTGGGCTATGTTTTAGAAAGAAAAGGAAAAAAAAAAGGAAGAGAAAAAGAGAGAGAAGGAGCCAGAAAAGCCTATAAAACCACTTACAACTGAAAAGGTAAAATTCCTTTCTTAAAAAAAAAACTCTATTAAGATTACTGTCTTCTTTGTATACTTACATATTAATGACTTTCTGGATATTTATAACATGCAAATAATCACTCTTTCAATAAGCAATTGTTGAATGAATACTGTGTGCTAAGCATGTCCTTTTACCTTGTCCTATATGATTTGTAATCCAGGTATGCATGTTTGGATATAGATATCTAAGTTCCTCAGGGTAAGTATTCTCTTATAAATGACATAGAAAATGGTCTTTTTAGTGGAAATTGAGAGAATGAAGAGATCATACTTAAAAACCTTCAGAAAAGACTCTATGCTTAAGGTTAGCATTTGAGCTACGTCTTGAAGTGTAGGTAGGGTTAGTGTAGAAGGTAGGAGTGCATGTTTGAGACAACAGCCTGAAGATTAAGCGTGAAAACTGAAAATAAAGTATGTTTAGAAAAATAGTGAGTTTTAAGAAAGGCATTATATATGTCTATGTATAGAAAATAGTGAAAAATAAGACCAGAGTGGTAGATGGAATTGTACATCAAATTGTAGATGCTTATTCCTTTTTGGGAGGAAAGGCTGTGGGCAGCACTTCAGAGTTTCTAAAGGAAGTTATGTACCTGATTCAGAAGGGTTCTTTGTGAAAATTATTTTGGCAGTAATATGTAGGATCGATGTGGTTAAGCAAACTAGAGGTAGGGAGAAGATTATTTATTCTTTGTGAAGGAATTGGTTAAATGATTATGGTGGCTTGGCTTTAAATGCATTTCATCATAGAAGCATGTATGCATGGTAAGAGAGTTGTCGATAAAGGGAGCATCCTTGATTTTAGTTGTTGAAATTTTAAAAATCAATACCTTTATTGAGGTATAAATTACATGCTGCAAAGTACATCTATTTAAAGTATATAATAAAATGGTATTATATACTTTGATATTGGTTTTTATCTCTGTCATGTATTGGAACAGTCTCTGCCTTCAAAAGGTTATAGACAAGCCTCCACAATTAAGACATACTAAGTATCTCAAGACTCCTGATCCTTCATTTGCCTTCCTTTCATTCACCCTCCATTCTTTATACCAGACTTGTTCACTGTCACCTAACTGTACTTTCTGTCTCTCTCTTCACTAAATTGTTTTGCCAAGAATGTCCTTTCCTTTCCCCACCTCTTACATAAATTCTGTTTATTCCACCTTTTCCTTAAAGCCCCTCTAAACATCCCAACTGGGTGTATTTTCTCCTTTCCTCAAAATTCTGGTGACATTCCTACACACTTGATTTTACTACTTTTTACCTTGTATTATTGTTTAATTATATTTTTAGATAAATTGCTTTTCTAACAGGTACATAGATGTTTTGTTTCCTGAGAGCATACATTAATCAGGTGGGGCTAAGTTTTATGTTTCTTTGTATTTCTAACAGTTTCTTATGAGTAGATGCTTAGGATAAATGCATATAGAATGATTTGTTGATATTTTTCATCTCATAATTCCTGTTAGTGTCTTGATTCCAAGGTCATAGAAGATTAACAAACTATTATTAAGTAATTTCTTAAATACTAAAAAATATAAAGGTATATTCTTCTTTCACCAAATTAAATTAAGATGTTAAATATTTTAATACTTAAAATGAATGATTAAGTTGGTGATTATAACCTGATAATTTAAATAGCTTATTCTCCTCTGGTAGCTTTCTCTTTAATGTGCACTAGTAAGAAGCTGTAAGTGAAATTTATTAGAATTTCCTGTTTGATTATAAATAAGTTTTAAAATCACTGCTAGGTTTTATCTTTTGTTTTTACAAATTGGACATTTCAATATAGTTTATGTAATGCCTTGTACTTGGCAAGATATAAAACTTAGCCACTTTTAAAACAACATATATTTGTTTTCTCCATTAAAAAAAAGATATTTTACCACAAAACTATAGTGAGCATATGATGTAACAACCTCATATCTTTTGTAGCTTCTCATGTAAATAATTGCCTATTGTTGTCTGTTGTGAAAATGGGCCATGGTTACCACAAAATGGAGTCTGTGGGCCAGAATCCTGAGAAGAGCCATAGAGGGTGTGTGAGCAGTGAGGAATCTAGCACATTTCTTTACTGTTTCCTTTCAGTATGTAGGTTTTATTAAACACAGTTTACAATTCACCTGTTAATTTTACTCAGCCTGCACAGGTTCAGGACTCCTACACCTGCACACAGGGGTGGCATTGCTAAGAGAGAAATGACATGGAGGGTAGAACTTAAGTTCCTATCAAAATTTTATGGTCAATATAATGCAAAATATATAAGCAAGAAGATACATTTAAAAGTATCACAGTGGAGAAACTAGAAGAAAAATAGCACAAATAAAGACATCTGCACCCGAATGTTTATAGCAACACAATTCACTATTGCACGGACATGGAAACTACCCAAGTGCCCGTCAGTTCATGAATGGATAACTAAAATGTGGTATATACTCACAATGGAATATTACTCAATCCTAAGAAACAATAGTGAACTAGCACCGTTTATGCTATCGTGGATTAAGCTTAAGCCTGTAGTACAAAGTGAGACGACACAAGACCTGGAATATGGGCTACACATCTACTCGCCATCAAATTGGTACTGACAGCCTAAAACAATGGTGTTCAAATAATTGTAGTGTTCAACAGGGATCTGAGGGGGGAAGACCCACATCTTAAGGATGTGATGAGCATTGTAGGGGGAAAGAATTACCTCTATCCCTTTTTAGGGAGAGGCAAAGAAACACACTGTAACCAAAATGTCTAAAAAAAAAAAATTTGTTAATGGGAGGTGAACAGGTGGAAGGGGGGAGAAGGGGAAGGGTACACACTTTCATGGTGGGTGCAGGGCACACCACTTGAGGACTGGACATGCTTGAAGCTCTGGCAGAGTGGGGTGGGGAGGGGGGCAGGGGCAAGATATGTAACCCTAACAATATTTGTACCCACAGAATTTGGGAATAAATAAATATAAAAAAATAGGCATTTTTCTTTATGTTCTCCCTGAGCATATATTTTCAGGGGGCATAAATAATCCACCGAGAAGACATTAGTGTAAATCAGGGGTCCTCAGACTTTTTAAAGGGGGGGGGTCAGTTCACTGTCCCTCAGACCATTGGAGGGCCGGACTTAGTTTAAAAAAAACTATGAACAAATTCCTATGCACACCGCACATATCTTATTTTGAAGTAACAAAACAGGCAAAAACACCCCCATGTGGCCCGCAGGCCGTAGTTTGAGGCTGCCTGGTGTAAATAATAAAAATAGTAGTCAGAATAATATTATCATCATTATCCATGTAATTGTTTTGTAGTCTATTATATATATGTGTTCCTCTATGCTACTTTTGACCATTTGAATTATGTAGAGATTTTGACTATTATAAATAGTGCTGCTATGATCACTTTTGTACATGCACCCAAGCACATGTCTCTTTGGGGTGTAGTTAGGAATGGAATTGCTGGGCATTTCATTTTGTGTGCATCTGGAAATTTTGGGTGCATTTGTGTTCCAGTTTGTGTGCATCTGGAAATTTACTAAATAATGTCAAACTGTTTTCCAGAGTGTATACCAAACAAAGGTACTCTTAGCCACCATCAAAATAACTCCATATTCTCTACAACACATGGTATTGTCAGAGATTTTAGTTTTTGCAGGCTTTGTTAAGTATGTAATGGTATCTCATATTTTTAATGTCTATTTTCTTGATTACAAAATGAGGCCTAGTACCTTTTCATATGTTTCTATGTTTTGCCTTTTCTTTTTTTGTTGCCTATGTCTTCATGTATTTTACATTAAAAAATGAAAATAATATATGTAAAAACACAAGCACATGATTTTTAAAAAATGAAACAATACAGAAAAGAATGAAAAACAAAAACCTTCGTTTTCATGTTTATTGCCCATTTGGATTTCCTCTTTTGAAGTCCTTCAAATCTTTTGCTGATTTTTTTGTTGGATTATCTGCCTTTTCCTCATTGATTTGTAGCAGTCTACAAATACACATACATATAGAAAATACTAACCCTTTTTCAGTTAAGTGTTTGCAAATATCTTTTTTGTTTGTTTTTTGTTTATTGAGACAGTGTCTCACTCTGTTGCCTGGGCTAGAGTGCCTTGGCGTCAGCCTAGCTCACAGGAACCTCACACTCCTGGGCTCAAGCAATCCTTCTGCCTCAGCTTCCTGAGTAGCTGGGACTACAGGTGTGTAGCATCACACCTGGCTAATTTTTTCTATTTTTAGTAGCCCAGCTAATTTTTTCTATTTTTAGTAGAGACGGCAGTCTACTCTTGCTCAGGCTGTCTCAAACCCCTGACCTCAAGCAATCTTCCTGTCTCAGCTTCCCAGAGTGCTAGGATTATGGGCCAGGTGTCTGGCCTGTTTGCAAATATCTTGTCTCTGCAGCTTTATTGTGGCTGATTTTGTTATGCTTTCTCTTTTTGGTTTGCAAATTGGTGATGGAGGGTTTTCTTATCTTATTCCTGACATCAAAGGAAAAGCTTCCAGCTTTTCACCTATGTATGTTATCTTTATTCCCCACAAAAACCTACAAGGTTGTTGATGGTTTCATTTACAGATAGGGGAACTAAGATTCAGAAAAAATATATAATTACCTGTTGTCACCCAGTTCAGTTAGAGAATTATGGAGTCTGGGTTAGAAAAATAAGGGCTTTTGTTTTCTTTAAGGCAGTACTGATTAAACTCCATCTCATATTTCTTCTTGTATTTAAAGGAAAAATGCTTGGTAGGGATTATGTATTCTAGAATCCCTTTTCTAAGTCTCACTTATTTCTGTAAGTAATTAAAGCCATTAGTGTGCTTCTTGACACATAGTAGTAACTTAATAAATGGTATTTAAGTATATATTAATTTGGGGGTTGGAAGAAAACTTACTTCTCTAGTCTAAATCCATTATTTGAAGTATATTAAATTCTAGAAGGACCTCAGCTCACTCAGAATTGACATGCTCAGTGTTAACATTTGTTGGTAGCTCA